GAGCCCTGCTGCAGTTCCTAGCAGGATACTGCCATAGGTGCCCCCGGGGGGGACCGAGGTACGGGCAGTGGATAGGGCTCATAGGGATGATGAATAGGGACTGGAGGCCTTGGAGGAGGCAGAACGAGAGGGGGAGGGAGTAATAGGGGAGGGTGGCCTGCAGCAGGCAGGTGACACCCATTCAGTGATAACACCAAGGAGGGCATACATAATGCCCAAAAGCCCTGCGCAATAAGGCGGTTTGGGGCGAGGAAAAGGTCCAGAATGGTCAAAGAGGGGAATTAGAGACTAGATAGGGGCGTCGCCCACGATTCGGGGTCTGTCATAGCCGAAAGGCTCGGTATGGACGTTAAACTTCAATAATAATAATAATAATATTACTATACTGTTAATCTAAAGGTTTCTCCACTTTCTCCCCCATTAAGATATCTAGTAGGTGACTCTTATTATGAGCTTATTCATGCAATGATGTCTGCATACGAATTCAGAGCAAGCTGCCCTCCTAGATGAGCATACAAGATATAGGAATTCTCTTCGAACTCTCCCTTCCGTGCCATATCAATCATTCCTGCAAAGCTCTTCCCTTCATAGACGGGATCAGTGATAAATGCCTCCATGGACGCGCCGTACTTGATAGCAGCGATGGTCTGCTCATCTGGAACTCCATAACTTCCCGCATGATAACGAGGGTCAAGAATCACATCATCGGCAGTGATGTCGTCTGCTTGTAAGCCAATCTTCTCGCCAGTCTGCCGCGCCAGTCTCAACACGGTTGCATGAGTCTCTCGCGGTCTTGCTGAGGCATCGACGCCTATAATCTTCCGCCTCTTTCCCTCCTGTCCAGGCTGCTTTTCCAACAGCTTGAACCCAGCAATAATGCCGGCCATGGTCGAGCCTGTCACAGCACAAACAACGATGACGTTGAAGAATACACCCATGGTCTTTTCTTGCTCCGCGACCTCGAATGCCCAGCGTGCGAATCCTAACCCTCCCAAAGGATGGTCTGATGCGCCAGCTGGGATCAGATATGGTTTTCCTCCATTCTGTCGGACTTCATCACACAGGGTAGCCAGGCGAACCTTGTCATCCTGGTGCGTGAATAGGTTGTCTTTTGTTCCGACAGCCTGGACCTCGGGTCCAATAGTCACTTTGGCCGACATCAGCCTCGAAAGCTGCAGATTTGCAACCCGATCGTAGTTCGGCGCATCATCACCAGGAACCCAATGTTCCTGCAGAAGGCTGCATTTCAGAGCGAACTTGGCAGCCACGGCTGCGACTTGCCTGGTGTGGTTTGATTGAATACCGCCAACGCTGACCAGCGTGTCCGCCCCCTGCGCCAAGGCGTCTGCAATGAAATATTCGAGCTTGCGCGTCTTGTTGCCTCCAAACGCTAGGCCTGAGTTGCAGTCATCGCGTTTTGCAAATATATGCACAGGGCGAGATGACGCAGCGGAGAGATCAGACGAGATACGCTCGAGACGCTGGATCGGTGACGGTCCAAAAAGGAGGGACTCGCGCGGAATCGAAGCAAATGGTTCCGGGAGGGGGACAGTAGCAGCCATGGCGCTTTTCTCGATTCTTGAATCGTTATTCTCGGATTATATACAAGTAGACAGCAGAAGTGTCAGCGTATATTCGTAAGTTGTCAGTACAGCAACATCGCTCCCATTTCCTGCTTGTCACATCTCAATGCATGCGATTATTATCGCCGACAGGACGGAAAACATCTTTCGTTTTCCGCGTTGCGGGGAAGTTGCCCGTCCCGGATCTTAATCCATTTTCTCGACGCCGACACCTTCAGGATGCTGCTGAGAAGCTGCAATAATCCAAGGCAGAGGGTATTTTTCAGGACTTCTTGATACACGTTGCAATATAAAATAGCGAATTGTCAATCATCGTACTTCTATTGCAGAGGGTATTGTAGAGCGTGGGCTTGTGACTGATTTGTATTTTTACATTTTACATCTAGGCCAGGACATTCCACGCCATCATATGAAACCCTTAATTATACTGTGTCCTTTTCTCAAAGGATCAGCTATCCGGTTTACGTCATGGCCAGGATCACGAGTGACACGACAATTTATATGTAGCATCGTCTATACGAATATACTTAGTTCGCTTAAATAGCTTGATCGACAGACAAGCAGAGAGAAACCTTTCGTTACTGCGAACAAAGAACTTTCGTTGAACTGCTCGTAAAAAGGAATGAATAGAAGAAACAAAGAGCACAAGACAGTGAAAAGAAAGATCAGGCCATCCGGCTACAGATGCATATTCCTTGATCACTCACTTGACTTGTCTCTTCCATTGGAACTTCCGTCGACAGCACCTTCGGAAGAATCTTCGTATCATCCCTCCTACCAATATATATCTCTCTGGAATCTCCTTGACTTCACGGATAGCAACCTGAGATGGAAGTAAGCTGGCTTGGGCAATCGACTTCCTCGTACTCAGTCGTCCATCCGTTGATGCCACCTCCTGCCCACTCGAAACGCCAGTGGCATCCAGGCTGCAGGATCGAGGGGAGTTGGTCGCATTCAGCGTCGCTGGAGACGCCGCCGTATTGAGCACCCCTATAAGATCGGTCAGCCGTTCTTTCGAATAGTTGATTTTTTTATTAATCGATTGAGTCATTTCTTACCATCCCTGTGGTGGCGCGCCATACTGCGAAGTGCAGGCATTGTAATCTCCAACACCGCCACCAGGCGTGTAAATGTCGAAATCGCCTGTACTGACCCCGCCAGAATTGACAACTTGGACGATCATGGACTTGCCCGCACCCGCCCCCGACGTCCAGGTGAACTGGAAGCACTTGCAGCAGTTGCTTGTCTCCCAGTTGCCAGCGAATCCGTACGACAACGTGTCACTGATGATGATGGGCTGGAAGTCGGAGCAGCTGTAGGCATCGCCTCCCTGGCAGGCGCTGGGAGCAGAGGCACCATTGCTGAGTACCTGGTTGTTGATGTTGCAGGTGGCGACGGTACCACTGAGGATTGATTATTCAATTTAGATTTTGTTCGTCATTCTGTCAGTGCAGAGTGATTCTTACCTTGCTCCGCCTGCTTGGGCATTTTGCGTCCAGCTACACGCTGGTTTACAACTGGACGGGTCAAGTCAGAACATTTCTATGAATGAAGTTTGCTCATAAAGTTGACACAAAATCCTGAAAATTAAAAGACCCTTTTCCTTTTCTTGAAAGGAAATGGCAGAAAGGGAGGAAATAATCACTGATAACCTACCAGTCCCATGTTGTTGTGGTGGTTCCTGTCAGGGCTGAAGCCAAAGGCGTCAGCAAGAAGGCAGAAACAGAGACAACAGCTCTGACATTCATTGTGGAAAATAAACTTGCAACCTGTATTGCGCAGACTTGAGGTGTGCTCTTGGCTGCTGTCTCACAGCAGATAAATCAATGGGTCGTACTGCTTCCTTCTCATGAGATTTTATACTTTTCCAACCTTCCTGTAAGATAAACATTCCTCCGGAAATTTCTAGTTCTACTTTCTTTCCTTTTTTGTTATTTTCCCGCTTCATATATGCAGTAACGGCTAAATTCAGAGGTATCAGTCTTGGCGAAGATAATCTACCCCCAGTCCCTGTAATGTTATTTTATAGAATGTGACTTCAGCACAGTAATAATGTTGTGGAGAATCTCCGTCGATTGGGTAGAAAGTCAGAGTTGTAGTAATAGGCTGGGCAGGTCTCAATACAAATTGCGGGGGAATTGCGGGGACGAAACAAAAAGAAAGCCACGATCATTGAGCTTAATGCGATTAGGATTCATGATACATCTTACATTTTATCCGGAAAGCCAAATTATACGACCTAACTGTCCCGCAGATGTAACTTTCGGGGAGTGTCGCCAGTTCTTGTAAGCGTTCGCCCGGACGAATTGCTGTCCAATGTCCTGCTGGAGCAGAGACCCAAAAAAAACATCTTTCGTATGCAGCAAAGGAAACGGTCAGACCACTTCCCTGCCCAACGTTAACAGCCTAAAATGATCTCCCTGGATAAAAATCGATTGGAATCGACTACGGGTCACAAGGGACAGCCACATCGGATCGACGGAGATCCTTCAAATCGATCGGACTAAAGCGAAGGACGATAGTCTCCCAGTAGCTTATCAGAAGGTGTCTGCCCTAGATCTAGTCCACGCTATGTGGATCATTTCAAACCCCGCATTCATTTATTGTCCGTTAAGCTTAGTGGAATGTTTTACCCCAGGTCTAGAACCGATGATCATTTCCTAGTCTTTTTACTTCTGTTTTCACTCGTACGGATGCTATCCGACTGTTTCCATGGCGTTGATCAGCACGTTCGCATTTGATTTTCCCGCACTAGGATATAGGGAGGCTTTCGAGATTTCTTCTGTTTTCTGGAATGAAATTAACAGCCGAAATGATTTCCTTTCATATCTTCAATGTCGCGGTCAACCAGAAACACCTTCATAACATTGGGTTAGGAGTAGTTATTAAATGAAATTTATTCCAGAATACTACGAGATTTAATCGTTGCTTTTATATGTCCATGCAAGTTATCCGAGTGCATTACACGTAAAATATGATGTTTTTTTTCCTTTTTGAAGACTGTTGTGCTGCGTTTATATTCATTCCTCACATGGGCCTATGACTAGCTTCAAATCTTCGTCCTTCTGTAGTATTTAACTATTATACTTGTCTGATGGATAGCTACATCCTATCTATTCAAGCCTCTACATAGAAACCTACAACTTCGCCTTATCCTTCGATTCCCTCTCCCCCCGTATAGCTTTATCGATTACCTCCATCGCCCTGATGAGATCGTAATCATGCTGTTTTGGAGTGATAACCTGCACGCTGAGTGGCGAGTTTAGGTAAACACGTCTATCAACAGTTTTTTCGTCCCCTGCGTATCATCAGTCAGCAACTTTCCATAACAATAATAAAGATGGTTGGGTCGAACTCATCACGGATAGACATACATAGCTCTCGATTCCTCTTATCCCAACTTCCTAAGACTTTCTTTTTCTTTTCATCGTCTAGCTCCAGTTGTAAATCGGATTCCGTTACCGTTCGCACTGGAATGACGCCTGCCGGATAGTCCAAAAGGACAAAAGTCGACGTGTATGAGACGCCGTTCCAGCGATCAATTTCTGGTACCGGATGCGGTGCGACGGGACAGATGATTGCGTCAATTGTTCGAGATCGCCCATTCTCGTTGTCGCTCTTTGGTGAAGAAGGTGATGGTGAGATAGTCCACATCTGGCGCATTTCATCTTCCAGTTGGGCTCGTTGTGCGTGAAGCTGATACAGCTGGTCGACTGTCAACGGCGGCCGTCTAGCCATCCTCCCTTGAAGCCAGGGCATGAGGGGTTCAGAGGTCTTTTCTAGCAGATCCAACATATGCGAGCTTCCGTCGACATCCATTAACCGGCCCGCGACAGTCTGGCATTTCCGCATCGATACAGGAGTGGGTACCTCTATCACTTGGATGCCCTCTGTTCGTCTCAGCGTCTGCGCCACTTCGTCCAGTACCTTGGCGACCGGTGGCAGTGGCTCCATTAGGCCATCGGAGCGGAGGATGCCGATGGTAAATTTGCGTGGTTTGCTCTCTGGCAGTGATGGCGTCTCACTTTCCCATTTTCCCGGAATGCAATCCTCTCCGAAAAGCTCTGCTCGAGGGACAATTTCCTTCAGAACGGCATCCAAATCGGCAACAGACCGTGCCAGAGGTCCTGCAGAGGCCTGCAGACTGGCACGACCCTTGCCAGCGGGATGGCCGCTCTCTTGTCCGCCGAAAGGAACCCGGCCGACGCTGGGCTTGAAGCCGTAAATACCGTTGCACATGGCGGGAATGCGGATGCTGCCGCCAATGTCAGTGCCGAACCCGACCATCGACCCTCGCATCGCCACGACGACACCTTCACCGCCGGAGCTTCCTCCAGCAGTCAGTTGACGGTTCAGCGGGCTGAGCGTGCGGCCAAAAAGATTGTTGCAACTGTCGAGGAAGGCCATTGTTTGAGGTATGTTGGTTTTGGAGATGATAACTGCCCCGAGCGAGAGCAGCAGCTCGACAAGAGGGGCGTTCTGCGTGGCCGGTTTGAATGCGAGGGCTGCGATGCCAATACTTGAGTCAACTCCTTTAATGAAGAAGCTGTCTTTGACGGTGACGGGGAGACCATGCAGTGGTCCAATGGGCTTGCCGGTGCGTCGGAAATGGTCGTCCAGTTTCTTTGCTCGTTCTAAAGCACTCGCGAAGAGAGGCTCTGTCAGGCATCGTGTTAGCTGTTGAGCGATAGCAGCGCGCTGTAAACATATCAGAATCAGCCCATATAAGAAAAGAAAGAAAGAAAGGGTTTTCAAGGTGGTGATGATGCGAACCTTACAGAACGCCCTCGTAACCTCCTCCGCACTCAGTCTTCCAGAAGCTATCTCCGCTAAAAGCCCTCTGACATCCCACTTCCCTGTAATCTCCAACTCTTTTGCCGTTAATAGGCCACACTTTCGCGGGATCTCCATTAAGTTGACCTTGTCTTTCCGGTATTCATCGATCTTCGTGATGGAGTCTGCGGGCGAGAGCCGCATCCCAGGCGGAATGAACTGCGCTGGCAGCTTCCATTCTGGCGGTATCAGAGAGTCGAGCTGGGCCTGTTTGCGCTGCGCGATGGCGACGTAGGGTGGTTGTGGTTCTGTCATATTTGGTTGCACAGATGTAATTTACTCGGTCACATGCAGTTTGAATGCGCAATAATTCCAGCCAAAACTAAATAGGCCCATTCAAGTGCATGCTCGTCGAATGACCGTCAACAGATACAGATAGTACAGAGAACGGAGAAGTTGATGAATCGGACTTCATTAAAGAGCAGCAAGACGAAGTGGAGCTCAACTCTGATTATTATTATTATTGGCCAGCATGCACGATGTCATGCGGGGAAGATTCATTTTATTCGGCAATTCCCGAACCTCGGCTGTCGCGAGTTACTTAATTTGGAACCACTTATGGAAGAGTTGAATATCGTGTATGCAAAAGCAAATAAAAGTACCTTCTCAGCTATGCCAGCTTCTTCCGTAAATGCCTGTTATTACACGAAATCCGCCCGAGTCTCCAGTTGGTGAAGGAAGAAAAACGAGAAACAAACCCGTTCTGAAAGATCCATGATCCTGTTCACATAGGCGATGAAGATGCAGAATATTCCGAGGAAGACGTAACATAGGTCGAAGCTGAGTTGATTTCTATGATTTGCCATTGTTTTCATCCATGTCGCCTGCAAAGGAGTACACCCCAAGTACCCTTTCTTCGTATGTATTCGACGACCGAACGCTGATTGCGAACGGGAACACTTCAGGTGCTGATAAAGCTGGATGCTAAGGAGTCTGATTCCTCTTCACACGGCTTCTTGGAAAGCGGTATATTGATGACGGGCAAGTTTTGGATTTGAGCCAAATATCAAGACCGGGGATCTCACCAGTGATGAATATATATTTCAGTCCGACAGGAGAGAGATTACGTGCTGTTGACAACCTTGTTCCTCCCCAGCCCGAATATCTCGATCACTAATGTCTTAAAAAATTTTCTCGTCTCCAAAATCGGCAGAATACCGCACAGGAACATGGCAGAAAAGACCCAAATGAAGGAAATTACAACCCATGCGGTAAAGAAAGGCTTGGAGAACACATAATGAGAGAGGAACATCGGGATCGGGATGACAAAGTCCATAATAAAGGACAGTACGCCAGACACAATAACCGCAGTGACGAAGGTTTTCTGCAACCGTGTGGGGTCCTCAACTACGATCTTGTCCTCGATCATTTCCTTCTCCTCATTCCGGACGGTCTCAACATCGTGGTTACCATCCTCGCCCCCAGTCTGCACGATAATTGCAGATTCTCCTGCTTCAGGTGCGTTTATTGCACGGGTGACCTCCCAGTCGAAGTCATCTGGTTTCATGTAGGAGATAAAAACAGTGAGAATGAGGCCAGTCAGAACGCTGGCCATGTTTCCCGCAAGGGTGGGATAGGAACCCCCAGTGGTAGTGATATTCAGCGTTCCATAATATACCTTCGCTTCCACAAGCCAAGCGATCAGACCAGCAGAGAGGCCGCCAACTGCACCGCAAACAGCACCCAGTCTGGTCTGGCCTTTCCATGTCACGGTGAAAGCAGCCGGGAAGACGGCACCGCCTATTAGGAGACCCATGACGAGAAACAGCCATCCCAGGTCGATGCCAATCCCATTCCAGAGACATGCAACGCAAGCCATAACAACGCCGAATACACATATCATGACATGCGAGACAAAGATCAGCTGCTGAGGTGTTGCAGAAGGTTTGATGTAGACTTTATAGATGTCGAAGGTAAGTATCGAAGAGACAGCAATGAGTTCAGAGGAAGACGACGAGGTGACGGCCATGAATAGAGTAAGCAACAGCGCAACAGCACCATTTTTCCCAAGCAATGCTGCAGCGCCAAAGGGAGCAGAGAGTCCTGCTGAAACCTGAGAGGATGTCATGCTATTTGGATAAGTGGGGAAACGAGGATTGCTCGTTAGAGCCACCGCAGCAAGGCCGAGTGTCGTCGCAAAGCCAAAGGGAATTGCGAACCATGCAAATCCCCCCATTATATAAGCTCGAACAGCGCTTGTCGGACGACTCGCGATGGCTCTCTGCCAGTATCCTTGGTCGAGAAACACTGTGCCCAAGCCAGAGCATAGTTGAACGACAGCGAAAATGAGACCGTAATTCGATTTCAGCGTCAGATAGGATCCGTCGTGGTTGCCTGCTACCGGTCGTTCGATAGACGCAGCCTTCAGAAGGTCATACATTTTAGATGGAGATCCAATAAGATCATTTGTCGCGTAGACTGAGAACATGAAGTAGAGGATGATAATCATCAAAATAACAGTGTGGGAATAATCACCTGGTAGCAAAATGTTAGCCTTGATGAAGATCGTAGTCTAACAAATAAATATTAAATAACAAGGGAATCGTTGTCCTTACAAAGGAATGTGGCTCGGAGACCACCTAGAACAACATAAACGCAGACTCCAAGAGGGATCAGAAACGTGGCTGCATAGACATTCATCCCAGTAAGGGCCGTTACAACGGCGCTGCCACCTAACAGCAACTGGCTGGCAACAAGGATGTTGGTCATTAAGGCAAAGAACACGAACACGAGATGAGTCGCCGTTCCGTAACGGTGATACACGATCTCCAAAAAGGTGTGACAATAAGGAGCATTCTGCTTGACTTTGCATGCGAGGACTGAGAACATGAAAATTTGCACAGTTGCTCCAGCAGCGTCTGTTATGACATTTAGCTATCTCTCCAGCGAATTATTTATTCGAAAAAATGTACTGACACTGTATGAGATCAGTAATGGTTTACCAAATCGAATGAGGAAAGCCTACCCAAAATGGACCTGCAATTCCATACTCATAAGCCACTGTGCTGCTTTGGAGCAGAGTCGCAGCCCATGTCCAAGCAGAGACAACACCACTCGCAATCAATCCGGGTTTGACGCTCCGGCTAGCTGTATTGAATTCCTCGCTAGCCTTGGTAGAGTACTGGGTGTATTTGTTCTACAAAAACTTAGTGACAATATCCAACCGCCTAGGAAGAGATACGGACCTGGATGTAAGACACGAGACACATCACCAAGGCAAAGAAGAACCCAATTCCCACCACGACCCCGTAGCCTGCCCCCTGAGGGAGAATTGGCGCAACATCTGAACTCATCTTGCCGTGACTTGGGACAGACGTTACTGACATCTGCTAGAACTGTTTTGTTACCTTGTTCCAGGGCGCATCGACATTATATACGGATTAGAGCTTATCGTGATTTCTCGTGTGTCAAAATGCAGATATCCGACGGGTTGATATGGGATCTTCGGACAATGTCCGAAAATGCCCTGGCTAAAACTTCGAATAATGATGTTATCTCTCGCTGCGATGACGAAAATTGTATTTTGATTCCAAAGATAGGAATCTATTCCGACTCAAACACCGAGCGGAGGTATTTCACCAACATCATTGTTTAGCTGTTGGAGAATTATGTCCCTCCAAAAAGGATTATTTTTATATGCTACATGCTCAAGCTCAACCCGGTACTGAGTTAGATAGCTGGAGGTTTCTTTCAGGGCTTTATCAGGAAGATCATTGATAGCGTCAAGCAATTCGAGATCGCGACCTACTAAATTAGGAAGGCCCCTCGGAGATCCTTGGTCGTAAGTGGATCATCTCTATCAGTACATCTACTCCGTATGAGTACTCTGTCTTAGAGAGTGTTCATTGAATAAGATTATGTCAGAAACATTGAAATTAACTATTATTAATAGCAAATTGATTTATCTAACACATCCAACGATGTTAGCTACTAAGGGTCCTAGTCTGACTTCGCTTAGTTCCCATGTGTCGCTAATCTATTAGACTATCTATTACCCCTCATTGTAGGTGCAGGACAGCACAGAAAATCCTCTGCTTGGTGTATTTGATTATCCCTACAGATGAATGTCAGTCGGTATCTCCAAATTGTGTCATTGGGCACAGATAAATTATACATTAAGCATACCTTTGGAATCTGTTGTTCCAAGAGCCGATTCTAAACTCTACCAGGCTAGGTATTTGGTTGCTCGACTTCCCGAGATACGTATCTCTGATAAGCACGCTGGATGATATAAGAATAAATAAAGTTCGGCCAATAGTGTGAGAAGGGCATATCGGCCTGTTTCCTATTATGCTGATCACATATCGGCAAAAGATTATTGAATGTGCCGAACCATAAAGTCCGATGCGGGACTCGTCTCTAGTCCTGATATTTGATATAATACCTATCAGATCTCAATATGACGAACGTATTTGCTAAATTCTTATATCTTGTGCACACAATTCCAAAACCCTTCCATTTTGATGCTACTAGATTGTTCACAATAAAATGTATGTACAGGCGACTGTTTTCTTCTTTTCACCGTATCTATCTTTCTTTTGTGCCTCATGGAATTCTGAATTTTCACTCTGCTATGAGCTGGTGATAACCTGAAAGCGAGGTCATCTTTTTCCGTCAGCTGCGCTATATGTATAGTCTTGTCGATGTTTTACATCTTGTCCAGGTATCACTGTGCCTTTAAGGAATTCTGGTCTTCTGGTTGGCGATGTTGTGAAATACGTCCATTCTTGATTGACTAAATGGTTTTGAAGCAAGAAGACATTATATATTATATGACTACTTTTTCTTACTTGGACTTCTTACACACTCGATTCCCTTCTTGGTGGTTGCTGCTGAGAAACAGTCTCTCAACTGTAAGGCAAAGAAACCTACCTACTCAAGCTAGCAGCATGACTACATAACTATAGTAACCCTTTCAGTAGCATGGTGAAACATATCTGCTGCTTTCTGTTGACATAAATGCTCATTAGTACTTATAAACGGAATACACATGAATCTGTTTTAAGCTCGCCATGGTCGATATCTTACTCCAATCATGGATTACTTTCTATTGCCTACATCAAGGCAATGGACTAATAATCATTTAATCACCTAAGGAACACTCCTCAATTTCCTGCTGCTAAAGACGTGGTGTTTGAGCTCCTCAATTAAAACGGCTGGGCCTTTTCCCTTCCAGTGTTTTTAGATCATTATATCTGAATATGCCTATGCCATACACTCTATAAATACCGTACTCAATTATATGCGATTCACAAAAAAGCTGGCAGGGGCAGTTTCATTAGCAACACAGAAAGAACTTCTGTCCCTGTATCACGAAGTCACTGTCTTAGCGTAATGAAAATATATTATGTTATTGACAGCTTGTTGCAACCACTTGTTCCTTTCATCAAGATCTTCTGATGTGGAAGGACATGCTATTTCTGACCACTGCTTGCGCTGTCTTGTGCAAGATCAAATGACGTTTCACTAATTCTGGTCTCATTTACTTCGGCTGGTGAGATTTGTGGGAGCGAGATACGCACTGAGAGTGAAGACACAGTCGGCTTCTGGTCGAAAGACCAACCTTCAGACTGTTAAGTGAAGGTTGTCTTCTCTGATCAGAGACAACGTTGCTCACAATAGCCTGAAGAAAAAGTGGACATCAACCCCTACTCGTAATCAACGAGCTGGGTAACCTAGTAACGGATCATGAAGTGCTTCAGGAGAGCCGCCCTAGGACCCTCGAGAGATCCCCACCCGACAATGGTGATCCGATGACCATGCTGGCTGAGGTTGATTGCAATGGCGAGGCCGGCTACTGCAACTACTAGCATGATGTCTTAGTCATCTTAAGGCCGGTGATATTGCTGATCACGTTGACTTCAAAACCTCGGATTGGCAGCTAAGAATGGGCTAAAAAATGAGCTCCTTGAGATCTGGGATGTGATCAAGGAGCAACTTGATCATGCTAGTAGGATGTGGATATTCACACTTTGTCTTGCCTGCTGCATTTCACAGTCTGTTTCTTGTATAGTACATGCGGCTCTTACGCAGACGTTCGGGATCCTTCCTCCAAAGAGCTAGCGCGGCATCAGCTAGGCATGTGTATCATTTGATCTTCCCTGATTCAATAACCTATTGATGACTTAAAACTCGACGATTCTTGCGTTTGGATCTGGGTCATGCCGTCAGCATCCCCTGTAAGCCTTCTTGCTCTGACAAATATACACGCATATGTCCCTTATACCCGAATCTCTATACATATCTCCGTTAAAATCTTTCTTGGCGGAGTTAAGCCGGAAGTACAGATAGCATCTCAGGGAATCTGTCAAGGGTGTCAGTTAGCGTTGGCCAATAAGGAACGGATAGAAACCAGCAGTATTTGCATACTTAAGTTGACAAGTTGACCTGGAGAGTTTCTATACAATGGATTTGATTGTATTTATAATAAGAGGCTGACTTCACGTATAGAATACTGATTTCCTGTTTGAAAAGGTTAGGTGATAACCTGTGGATACTACTTCTCGAAAATATATATCGATCGATCTTATTGGAACTATAACTCATCATGTCCGCAGACAAGACAGTGGTCCTGATCACAGGTACATTTAGCCATCGCGCTATATTGTCTTGATTTCTAACTCATTCTCAACAGGTGCCAACAGCGGCATTGGATTCGACACTTGCGCCGCCTTTGCTGAAGCATCTTCTGAATACCATGTCATTCTCTCCAGTCGGTCGCTGGAAAAGGGCCAGAAAGCGCTTGACGAGCTTCGCTCTCAGAATACCCTTCGCGGGACCATCTCTCTCTTGCAGCTCGACGTCACCGACGGAGACTCCATCAACCGGGCAAGACAGCACATCGAGCAGCAATTCGGCGGCCGGCTCGACGTCCTGATCAACAATGCCGGCATCATATCGAGCGAAAGCGACCTCCTGGCCAACCTTCGCCAGACCTTCGAGACAAACACCTTTGGTCCAGCCATAGTCATCAAGACGTTCGTACCGCTGTTGAAGAAATCGGCAAAGCCGCGAATTGTCTACATCAGCTTGTGTGGCGATCCGTCGTACAAGCACTACCGCAACCCTCATCTAACGTACCGGATGAGCAAGGCGGCACTGAACCTCCTGTCCGTGTACCATCAGATCGAGTTTGAGTCGTGGGGGTGCAAGGTCTGCGCGTACAACCCGGGCTACGCGGTGACGAACCTGACGGGCGAGGCAGGGCGAGCGATTCGGATCAAGAACGGCGCGCGCCCCTCGACAGAGAGTGCGAAATACTTGCTCGAGATTGCCCAGGGCAAGAAGGATGGCGATGTGGGCGGTATAGTGGATGTGGATGGTGGTGTGAGGCCGTGGTAGAGGTTTTACTTTCTTATTCCTACACGCCTTTCACTGGGCTAGATGAATGAAACAGTATTAAAAGTAGATGAGATAAAGTAACATGTCAGATCAAGCTTAGAACAATTCCCGTCACTCTGTATCCCGCCTACGCGACATGTGGCTCTGACAGGCATCGTATGAAGAAAAATAGACGTCTCTCTCGATCGGCCCAAGGAGCACATCCGGCAACTGTGGACAATCATGGAGGAAGAACATACGGGGAGGCAGGAAGCTGGTGGCCAGATGTGGACGGCACTGCACGACGACGGCGCTCGTGGAGACCAGTTCGACCCTCTCAACCGAATCTGAGACGAAGTCGGTCAACTCCTTCGGCGGGTAGGCGCCAACCACTTTGGCCGTTTTCTTTGACATCCAGCAGTACTTGGTACGATTCTCGAGGCACGAGACGACGGTGGAGCGGGTGCCGCCAGGCAGCCGGATCAAGACGGGATTTTTCTGTGCAATCTGTCAGCTTCGTCTATTGCGTAAGAAATCAATATTCATTGCTCAAGCACGCTGCTGGAGCAAACAGGACGCTTGTCAGAGTTGACGGCAAAGGGGTCCCGAAGGCCCATGGCGAAGGTCCGCAGAGGATGTAGAGACGAGAAGACCGCTGTGCACCAATGATCTGTCTAATATGGATGACTATAGGCAGTGTCGCGTATCAAGTCGAGTCAGCCGAGATATTGCAACTGGATCACTTTTCTGATAACATTCTGCATCTGACGTTGATAACCGTCATAGATCTGACTCTTCTCCGTATCTGTTTTTCGATGACTCATTCTCACTTGGGAGCCTAAAATTATTCACCATGACAGTTTACATCCCACAAATGGGACGTTAACGACATCTTATTCTCCCTCGGACGGTTTCCACCGTCAGAAAATTCCGAGGAGTAATATCAGGGTACCACATCTAAAACACAGCTGGTTGAACGAAGCCAAATTTCCGTTCAGAGTCAAAAGACTGAACGCGGCAGACATGTCGCTATATCACAAGTCCAGGGATATTCCAGACCTGCGACCCTTCTTCAACAGCCGCTATCATGACAAAGTTCCTGCTGGCCCTTCTCGTCGCAGCCTGCGAACGGACCTGGTGGACATGAAACTGGTCCTTCCATTATCTCCTGAATAACGAGCGTTCCTGCAGACATACAGCGCTCAGTCATCAACAGCAGCTAGGCAAATAAGCATAATTAACACCTTAATCCTGAGATTAGTATCGAGTACTAGAGTTCGTCTTTAAAACACGAGAACGAGATCCTGCGAGTGCAAAATCATCCAGGGAGATAGCGGAAGAATGGCCTCGATCTTCCTGCGAGACTACATACTGCAAGATAAATTAGTGCCTAAATCGAAGACTGAGTAGGTTTGCCTTCTTCAGAACTAGGTTAGGCTCAAGTTATTAAAAAGGAGGGGTTAAAAGAAGATGATGATGATGCTGATGAAACAAGGGTGATAGGAGGAGCCCTTCCTCTCTCTGTCTTGATCAGACATTCAATCTGTTGCGGCACAACCTTGCACCTTGACGGAAGTACCTTCTGATGGGGAGTATGGAGGATACATGCCGATCACATGGGATGTCCGTGACTCGGGCTGGTCACGTTACGGATATTTCATTTCGTGTACGTAGTCGGAGGATCCTTCCCTCATCATTTTCATCGTTCATCCTTCATCGCAATGCCATACTGCATTAAGCATCGACACAAGCGTACACAATGTTTTCTTCCTACACAGGGATAAAGTTATCATGTCTGAGTATGTCTGCTAGCACGTGCGTGGGAAGAAACCAATTATAGGGAGAGGAAACATAGACAGTCAGGGCTCTATCGAGCTCATCAATTCTACAGCGTCTTTACCTTCCAGTAGCGGTTGCCTCGCAGGTCCTCTCTGCAGCAGAATCATGTCGTCTGGGGTGATCCTTTCCCCAGATTTGATGGTCCACCTGGCTGTGGAGACGGGCATCAGAGCGTTCTCTTCCCCATGTCTCACGGTTAGATTATCACCCCTGACGAGGCAAATGTGGAGGACAAAAATCACTCATCTTCGGGGTACCCCGCATGCGAGTATGTGGGTATCTGGAGAGATTATTGAACTCTGTCAAGTCCGTTGGGGATGCTGATATTCGATGCGGCAGGAGACGGAGATTGCCAGCCTGTTCGGCCGAGAATAGCCGCCGATCACCTTGCCAGTTGGACTGCAGCCAGGGCATCGATACTGCCATTAAATGATTGTGCCCTGACAGGAGCAGCACGCGGATAAGGGACTGGAGTGGATGCAGGGCTCTCTCCCATAGAGCGACGATATCAACTGTGGTGAAATGCTGCAGTACTCCCAGGTGGCCGATCCTAAAATGCTGGAGGGAGAAGTCGAGAATAATGACGGTCTGAAATGAGAATTCACTACGTCATCTCGCGATTCGTCCATCGCTATCCGGGCCTGACAAGCTAACCATCAGACTGTTTGATCAACGTCATGCTGGATGCTGAGTGCTGTTGTTGACATTTCTCTTTCAGGCAGGTGGTTAAGGACAGCGGATGGCGCTGATTGGCCGGGTCGGGGAGAGGCATTGATTGGCCGAAGTCTCGTGCTTACTCGAGTAGCTCGCCCATCGGACAGCTGGCAGCTTCTCTCCATAGCTCTCTTCGACTTCACGATTGTGCGTACTCCGTTCCATGTCGGTTCTGTTATTCTGCCTCACAGGGGACAGAATCCGGAGATGCATGATCTCTGCTTATTCTTCGACTCTTTTTTTTTTCTGTGTGCTCCGCGTGTTCCGCTGTGATGATTGCGACCTGGCCCAAGCTACGCCGCGCCATGGTCCAGGGTCCGTTCGCGGTAGGCATGAACGCCACGCCTATGACAGATTGGGACGGTCCCCGAGTGAATCCACGGTCCCCGCCACAGATTAATAATTAATAATTCACACGCCTTTCCTTATCTCGCAAGGGCACTCACGCGATCGAGCTCGTCGATCCAGCACCCTGGTCGACCACGCTACAACGGACATCTGCAGACAGTGCAGAGTCGATGACAAGAACAAGAATATCTCGACGCGAGACAGCGTCGTTTATTTCTTTACTCTGGGAGCATTCTGCTGTCCGCAAGCAGCGTTCTCGTGGTCGTGTGCCCGGCTTCCTCTGCCCGAGGCGCATCCTCGGCCCAGCGTTACATTTTGGGGCATGGACGCCGCCACGCAATTAAAATCACTCGCAGTTGGCCGTTTCCGGCCAGGAGGGATGGATCCGTGGAGCAGCACCATGACCAACCCAGCATCGATCCCCAGCGATCACTCCTGCTGCCCGTCTGACCGCACTGAACACCTGCCTGTCTGAGCGTCTGCTGCGGGGATCCCCGGAAGAGGCATCTCAGCAGCACTCGCAGTCTCTGCACGACGTCGACTGTCCTGGGCGGCTACTGGCGGGCAGCTGTGGTGGTTGCAGCCGGACCCTTGCGCGGTGGAAAGCTTCCAGAATTCCAGAATCCCCGAATTCCAGAACCCGGCCGTTCGGATGCCCGCTGGTTGACATGCGTGCAGACAAGCAAATGTCAAGCTTTTGCTGAGCTCTTGTCGTGCGCTCGTCTCTCGGCGGCCCCGCCATTGGCCAATCGGGGCCCGCATTGCACCAGCAGCACTCCAACGCTAAGATATCGCTCTCGCGGGCGATTGGCCGCTGCTGACGCTGCTCGACAGAGATTTCACCGGCCTTCACGCCTTGCTCGCCATCAGGTCGCATTTCCGCCATGGCGCTGCCTCCCGCTGTCTCGGATTCGCCCGTCCGGCCTCTCTGCCCATGGCGAGTGCCTGCGATTGCCCTGGGAGCTCCCGCATGTGCCCCTAATCCTCGCCTCGGTCCTCCCCGCCGCGCTCCCAGTATTAATTCCTCAGCCTGACCGCCCCCCCCGGTTCGCTTTCTCCTCTGTTTGTCCTCGTTCTCGTCGCGATCCGCACGTACATCGATCGACCGACGTTGCAATTCGCTATGGCCCAACCCGCCAGTGTGGCCCTTGACCGGGGCGACCCTCGCCTGCACGAGAAGGAGCGTGAGAAGCAGGATACCCTCGCCATGGGAGTTCAGGAGCCTCCCCGCGGTGGCATCAGACCGCAGCACCGTAAGCTGCACGACCCGGACGTCACCTTCGAGGAGTACTACTACTATGCGCAACTGACCCGCGCCGAGGAGGACCAGAACAAGTCCCACGACGGCGAGCGCGGTCTCTTGTCCCTCATCTGGCCCTCCAAGTCCGACAAGGGCGTGCAGCAGGTCACCGAGAATGCGACCAAGGACGCGACCACGATCAATACCAGCGACCCCGCTCAGCGCTTGACCATCACCGACGAGGAGTGGACCAATGCTTCGCGCGCCCTGCGCACGGCGACTCGCGGTGCCATCTTCTACCTGATTACGACCGATATCCTGGGTCCGTTTGGACTGCCCTATGCTTTTGCTACCATGGGATGGGGGTGAGTGCGCTGATCTGGTTTCGGGATGCGTCTGGACGCTTGACTAATCATAATGACCATGTGGCTAGGCCTGGCGTTGCTCTCTACACCGTCTTTGCCGGTCTGGCCGGGTACTCGGGCTATCTGCTCTGGGAGGCCTTCCTCGGCCTGGACTCGTACCAATTCCCCCTGCGCAACTTTGGTGACCTTGGCTTTCGCCTGTATGGGCCGTGGATGCGCTATCTCTTCAATTTCCTGCAGAGCATCCAGCTGATCCTCAACGTCGGTCTGATCATCATCTCCAACGGTGAAGCTCTGTCCCAGGCCGCCAAATTCCGCCTCTGCTTCATCGTCTGCTGTCTGATCTGGGCCATCATTGGCTTTGTCTTCGGTCAGGTTCGAACCCTGCAGAAGTTCGGTTGGCTCGCCAACGTGGCTGTCTGGCTCAACCTCATCTGCATGTTCATCACCATGGGGGCTGCCGCCCACTCGGAACCCAACTACCAGGCCGCGTCGCAGGCAGCGGGTGCCGTGATCGACGGCGGTGTCCTGGTTACCCCCGATGCGAATGGGAACTATCCTCCGGTGCAGACCAGCGGCGGGCTCCCGAATTCCGGTAGCTTCGCCGGCTCCATCAGCGGTGCCATGCAGGCCATCTTTGCGTACGGTGGCTCCATGGTCTTCCCGGAGTTCCTGGCTGAGATGAAGCGCCCGAGAGATTTCCTGCAGGCCATGTGGGCCGCCCAGGCGTTCATTTACTTCTGGTACATGTTCTACGGCCTGTTCATGTACGGATACCAGGGCCAGTACACTGTCAACCCCAGCTACCTCGGAATTGGGCCCTACAACCTGCAGACGGCGGGCAACGTCTTCGCCATGGTCAGTGCTGCCATTGCGGCCGCCCTGTACGGTAACATCGGCATCAAGGGTAAGTCTCGCAAACACCTATCCAAGTAGTGAGTATATTTCGCAGACATTTCTAACTGGTTGACAGTCATCTACAACAACATCTTTGTTGAATTCTTCCGCGCTCCCCCGCTGACTACCAAAGCCGGCAAATGGGCCTGGGTGTTTATGATCCCGATCTACTGGGCGCTTGCCTTCGTCATTGCCGCAGCCATCCCCAACTTCTCGGGTCTGACTTCGGTCGTGGCCGCGTTCTGTATCCTGCAGTTCACTTACACCTTCCCGCCCATGTTGTCGCTGGCCTTCCGCGTTAAGCGAGACGCGCTGCAGCAGGGCGAAGGATTCGAACCGACGACCGGAGAGACGATCCGGCACGACTCGGGCATTCGGCGGATCCTTCGCGGGTTCTTCTTCCCGGGCTGGTTCACGTCGTGGCGGTTCTATGTCAACGTCTTCAACATCATCTACACCCTCGGATCGTTGTGTCTGGCCGCTCTGGGCGCGTATTCCGCCATCGAAGTCCTGATCGACGCGTTCAAGTCCAACACGACCAACTCGTTTGTGTGCAAGAGCCCGTTGGATGGAAGTTGATCCGTATCGTCTTGCTGCGAAGAGAAGTTTGAAAGCTCAAAGCTTTGTAAAGCTACCGCAGCTACAGCGAGGTTGTGTGCTGGGGGGATTTTCCTGTTGTTCATCTCGACGACTTTGCTTGAAATGTATTGATGGTCATATTCGTATTGAATGTGTAATCTATCAATATAATTGTTATTATTACGTTACAATATTTGCTTAATAGTACCGTTCTTATAGTGCATCCGCAGTTGCAGAGAAGCAAAGCACACAGACATATTCTACGTTATCAGATAAACAACAGCAGCAAAAACTGGATAATAGTACGGTTCAAGCAACTACTGATGGCGAATCGGAGATACTCATACAAGGTTATCACCAAGGCCGATACACCCTGGAATCAATCTAGAAGGGGAACGGGAGAAAGGAGCAAAGAATTTCAGCTCGTCTCGGAGAGCTGACATACTGGATGGACTACCGTATCTAGATGACAACAGGGAATCGTCGAGCAGAAATATACATAGACTCAACGCCGGCGCCATACGCATCGCATGACTGACCGTCCTCTCTTCCCGCGAAGACTCCGGAGAGTTAACACCGCCGTCTGCCAATTTATCCCAGGTTCGATGATGTCGACTGCTTTCTTTTTTCCTTGAGGTCCCAATCCAAGGAACCTCGGTGTCTGCCTTCCGGGTCGTGGGTGGGATGAATGGAATTGCCAGTGGTCATCCAGGTGATAATTTGAATCTGCTGACACAGCTCGAACGAGATGAAGTGTAGCCTGATTTATTATTGTTTAGAAGTCTTGGTATTGATTCCACGCTCTTGATTCAATTCTCAATATTATCTTGTTGGTAATCCTTTTTATTTCATTTCTTTTCACGGATATGTACGCTGAAAAACAAGAATATATAATTCAGCTGTGGATAGATATACAGACCAATATTGCCTATTTTGTATTTAGTAGGATCAACATAATAACTATGATCATGATTATATCAGTCCCCTATTCTTCAAAGTAACGACGTTTCTCCAGCACTCAGATCACATCATCCGACATCGTCTGTCGATTCAGCTCGTCTCCGGCTTCTGACCATACACATAATACAATTTCATGTAGGTATGAAGCGTCGGGTCGAAAATCTCCTGTCGGAACCCGGCCAGCAACGCCTCGATGCGTTCCAGACTCCACCCCAGCACGCGGGAGAGCAGCGCCAGGGCTGTAGGCATCTGGAGCCTCCAGCACCGTCGTCTGCACGTGCCGACCCAGTTCCTTCAGCTTTGGGTCCTTGGGCCAGGGGGCGACGGGGGCCTGTCATGACGACCATAGTCGGTAAGTGATCCATATCACACTAATACCTCAGCCGAGGGTTCACACCTTGTAGACATCCTCTTTGACATTGACAAATCCAGCCTGACTTAACCAGCCTTTATAGTGCTGCGCCACGTTCATCCGCTTGCCGAACTTGGAGCTCGCCTCGTCGAGCCGTTTCACCCATTCGAGGCTGTGCTTCGCCTTGTGGATCGTGTCGTCGTCGGCGTACGGCCAGACGCTAAAGTCGCACAGCTCCAGCAAGCCGCCAGGCGCGAGGTTGTCGAGACATTGTCGCAGGAAACGGTCGTGATCCGTGATCGAGCCAGCGAGACTGCGGCCATGGATGAAGTCGAAGGGCTTCGAGAAGCACCACTGCGACTCGAAGTCGTCTAGTTCGAGTTGGCAGTTGGGAGGGACCATAAAGAGGTTTTCTTGTCTTAACACCTTATATTTCACAGAAGAGGTTCCTTAACTGACCACGCAGGCTGAATCGGACTCAAGTCGGTTCCTGGACAAATTTCACTCAGCTTCAATAAAGTTCTCGTCAGATGCATAAAATCTCACCGATGACAGTCGCTTGAGGATATTTCCTACAGACCGGTACATTAGACAGCCGGCCTTTCCATGAAGAAGAATAGTGTATATCTTACTTCGCCATGTCAATCGCCCAGAGCCCTGCATCCAATCAGTATCTTCCTTTTTCAACAGCCACCTGCAATGCCCTGAAGTCAACTTACCCGTCCCAGTCCCCAGATCGAGAATACGCCGCGGATTCGGCGAAATGGGGGCGCAGAAGATGGTACCGCCGAGGACCAGTTGTTGGATATAATGGTCCTAGCAGAGCAGGTGAGAAGAACATATTTTACTGATGGCGTTGGCCATGTGAAGGGGAAAAAAACATACAAGACTCATGTGCGCTTGCTCTCCCTCATCATTGGGCTGCCAGCGTGGTCAGTGACTTTCTATGCGGCCAGTGATCGTCTTGGTAATGTTCGTACAAGGACATATTCACCCTGCCTGTAGGCCTGGTATCGTCGACCGTTCTATCTCTCCATTTCAGCCTTCATACCATATTATTATGCTTGTTGAATCGAATGAAGCCCACTTCGTATCTGTACAGTACATGTCAGTCTCGACAAACAAACCTCAGCTGAAGATAGAGGCTTGGGCCTTCTCACTGGTAGTCATATACACTGGACGAGATAGACACAGTCGAGCGTGGAGTCTCACTGTAATGCTCACTCAGATAATGTTCAATCCAACCAGCGCTATTAAGAATAAATCCTGTACGTACGATCCTCCAAACACAGAGTCATCGTCAGTCCAGTCGGTATCATCCTGTTCAGTTTTTCATCAATCAGCTGCTACTCGGATAATTCTTGCTAGGATGACTGACATCAATCTCGATATTCATTCCCTGAGCTGACGGTAGGTTTGCCATAGTGGAGAGGTTTGGATTAACAAATACAACGACAATAGTGACCTCGCGATAGCAATAATGTCGACAGCAATAAGAATGGTCCTTCCCTCTCAGGAGAGAATTCGGGGTGAGATGAAGAGCCGGTATTAACTCTCAGCTCGTGTCATCCTACACCAGTGCTCATGTCAGCTCGTGTCCATGAGCACTGGTGTAGGATGACACCCGCCACGAGTCCCCGGTTTGGTCGCTTGCAGGATATGATCGATATTCCCCAGCCCCTGACTACCGGATAGTCCATTCCGGCGCTAGGATGCGTTCATATCCTTGGGGTATGTATGTGCTGTGCCACATTTCCCACTCCCGCCAATAACCGCAGTAAAAGGAGTTATAATCCCTGCAATTTCCCCAGACGACGCATTTGACTCAACGCCAACTGTGATAGATCCAATAGTACGGATTAGTTAAATGCATCAGGGGCATGCAGTCGCGATGACCGGTAGAGTTCCCCTGACGGATTTCGCAGATGGATAGATTCGACACGTAAATCAACAGATCTGACCTGTTGCATACCTCGTATTTATAGCTTTTCTTGTCCAGAGAAAGATCATGCATCGATCATATATACAAACTGGTCACAAGTAGCAGTCAGTAAGCTAAACAAGATATATACATCATGGCTATATTAACGCCCTCAAAATGGTTGCACAACACTCATTGATTGAATTATTGCCATCATTTCCACATATCTATGCGTTACACAGGGCGACAATGTCATCCGGAACAAAAACCTTGAGAATGCTGATCAGCTGCGACAGGGGAAGCCAGTCGAGAGTGCCGTGGATCGTCTCGATGGGCTGTCCGCTGTACAGCACCCGGGCATAAAACGGATTGCTACGATCATCTATTTCCCTGGTATCTCGTCAGCGAAATAATAGCCACATACAACCGCAAGGAGGAAAGCTTACCAAATTTCAAAGGCAATATTGGAACCCATGGCCGGCCAGCGCAGCGCGGTAATGCCGAGTGCGCCCAACACGGGTCCGATATCGCCATCATGGATGAAGATGTGGCTGTAGACCAAGTTCGACTTGCCCTGCTGGACTGCCTCAAGGCGACTCACGATCTCCCCGATGAAGAGACCCTCGACGACCTGAATGTATTCCGTCACGTTGGGGTTGGTACGCCAGTAGTAGTTCCACTCCCAGTCGCCCGCCCGGAACACCTCGGCGGCCTGGGCAGCGGTGACGCACTCGCTGTGGTTTTTGAAATTGCAGGGCAATTCATAGCCGTTGCAGAGCCGGGCCTGGAAGTTGTCGGAAAAGTGGTCAAAGGTCGACTGCCACGCACTGGACGTCGCGCCCAGCATGCTTCCCAGGGCACTACGCAGGTCTGCCGTCACATCGAGATGCTCTTTCCATTCCGCAGTCGACTCGATGGCAGACAAGATAGCCCCCTGCGCACTGCAGGAGTAGCCCTCGTTGACGGTGTCAACGGCAGAAGTCTGCTGGTGAAGAGGCAGTGAGCCCTGATAGTCGGGCCAGATGCCACGTAGAACACCGCCTGCGCTCTGCTGGGTCAGAGGAGATGAGCTGGAGCGGAACCAGACGCGATCGTCCGGTTGAGGCGGGATGAGGCCAAGCTTCTCTCCATAAACCGCCCACAGATCGCGGCCATGCTGGATCCCATCGAGCAGACCACCGAGAGTCAGCTGGGGGAACTGACAGGAGCCGTTGACGTAGCTGCTGACGAAGGGGTTGGTCGGATCGGTGTACGTCTGCGCGTAGACGGGCAGCGGTGCAGTGCCATGTTGAGGCGCAGCGTAGAGGTAGGGGAGAATATTGTCGCAGTTGTACGGTTGGTTCTGTGATGGTTCTATCAGCAGAGGCGTCACGGCGCTAGGCTGGTGGTTCCCCTCACCTCACCCCCAGGCAGGATATTGTACGCAGTGCGACGCTGATGGCGCTGCAGGTACTCGAGATAGACGAGCTTGCCTTTCACTTGGCCGGATTGCAGCGGCTGTGGCAGCTGGTACTCGTCGACGCAAGGATGGGGCATAGAGCAGTAATCGTACACGCCATAGGGAGAGCCGGCGGTGGCCTCGTCGGCGGGGGCAGAGTAGATGCCGCCATAGAGGCTCAGAGAGCTGTTGGTGATGTAGGACGTGTCGTTGAGGGTGGGCGGGTAGAAGGTCTCTTTGGGCATGAGTGCAGGCACGCCCAGCGCCAACGCGCCAAGTGCCAGCAAGGAGATGAGCATTTTGCCTGACTCCTTACTTACAGGGTGGAAAGGCGCTACAAAACTACTATACAGGCTTCCCCAGCCTTTATAAGGATGGCTTGCGATGGTTTCCTGGAATGCAACCATGCCTAGAGGCAGTCTCTCGAATCATTAACAATTATCCAATAATGTAAAGGGACTCATGTGCTATTCCAGGCACCGAACATGGCGGCCATTATTGATGCGCTTTCTGCCCGGATATCAATATCGTTGCCCTCACTCGATGCTGCGGATTGACAGCCAGTGGCAGCTGATTTCCCCCGCACGTGGCCCCGTGGGTTCGGCATGAGCCCCGCGAGGATATCAGACTTGCGAGCGCAAGAAGTCCATGGCTATTCTGGTGGAAAGCGTTCGAGATATTAATAGTGAATAGTAGACTTGGATAAGGAAAGCTTGAATGAGCTTGGGTTCAATTAAAATACCTACCTAGGGACTTGTATTATTCTCCAGGAAAAGAAGCTCCCAGAAACGGTAAAGAATACCTAGTCACATGACTGACGCGCTAAACCATTTACAGTAGAAATCGAACTAGCCGTAACAGGAAAACGCAATACAAAACGGGTCGTCCGGAATGTGTAGTTGGATGCCGATGATGAGATTGGCTTGAGACTGAGCGTGATAAATCAAGGACGGACAAAACACGATGGATTCAGGAAATTCAGGAAGATCATCCCTTGCTGCAAGACAACATGCATTATACGGACGATCGAGCAGAATGTTAAAAAAAATGAAACTGGGACATGGGCCATTCGGACCTGGTTTGCCTCAGGGCCAATACAGGTCTGTAACACTCGCAGCTCGTTTGAGCAGAGGCTGTCATACACAGTGATGTAGTTTGTACTAAAGTAAAGAAATTAATTGAACGCATGATCAATGCCAGTCCCAGCTTTTAGTTCGTACATTCCTTCAGAAGCATTCTAGCTACCTATCATCCTGCACGAGGGGCTCAGATATTGTCTTATGCGGAGAAAACTGTATCCAATCCAGGAGCCTGGTTGGACAAGAACATATGCGAATGCTTTTAAATTAAGGCACTTCTGGAGTGCTTTTTTTCTGGTCTCAACTTCAGCGACGAGGACTTCATTATCGTGGATGCAGGACTGATAAACTCCGACACGCACTCAGTGAAATCTAAATTGTAATAGAATATCACTGGTTACTGCGAAGTTAAATGGCTTTACGGAGCGGAGGTACGCTGTATACAAGCAGGAAGCTGAAATGCCCTAATTCGGGTATTTTCATGACTCATTTTAGAACGGGAAACGTTCGATAACCTCGGGTTTTGTCTAGACTAAGCTGCTAGGAATGTGGTTGCCATTATTAATTTCAGATATTCCAGGAGACCGGCAGCAGTATAGATACGCTTAAGAGTACCATGACTTTTTCGTCCGAATGTAGATAACCGGACCGGACTTCCACAAATACAGAGTATACCTCTCGTTCCTTACCTAAAGACGAGTTGTAGAGACCAGGGATGACCAAAGCTGGTGGCCCTTCTTGCAGGCATCCAAAGTCTTGATCTAGCTTATAGGGATGTACTCACGTATTCCTATCTTATCCTTTGGCATGGTAGTTGCACATTGGAAAAGGAAACCATACTCGAGCCAGATAGATGAGTGCATCTGAGCCCCCATACAGAACCCAAATTAGCAGGTAGGGAGCAAACCTCTTTCTATCATTCCTCTGAGAAGAAGTGAATCGAAAGAATAATGTCAAGTCTGACGATTCTCATATTCATATTGTAACGAACGACTCAGTACATAACATGAGAGGAACAAACCAAATCATCCGTATCCAGTAGTTTCCATCAACACCGTTTCAGGTAGTCGCCAGCTTCATGACAGGTCCCAACCTCCCTGAATGCTTCTCACAAATACAAAAAAGAACGAAAAGAAAAGACATGCCAGAAAACAACTGTCATCCAAATGCATCATACTCTTCGTCAAGCCAGTCGTCACGCATCACGCATTTACCACATCAAGTCAAGTAAGATACAGAATAACAGTGACAACGGTTCCCGTGATCCCACCGATCACGAGGCCCAAGAGAAAGTACTTGAGAAAACGTCGCCTTCCGGAAGCCGACCACCAAGAGCTCCAACGGCCCTGTTTGGGTTGGTCGACTGGCTTGTGCAACGACTCGAGGCTCGAGGCGTCGGAATAGGTGTCTGATATGCGTTGTGCGCTGGCTTTGTCGTGGGAATAGGACATCTTGATAGGAGGGAAGCTAGCTTCAACTGAAAGAGATTCTGTTTTGAAATGTTAATTAGAACCAATATGCATGGCACAAAGCCAAGAATAAGACAATACTCACCGTTCGAAATAGCTCTGTCAGCTTGCAGATCAGACTGTGAGTCTGTCAGGATTGTGTTCAGAGTCTAATAACACACGGAGAAAAAAATAAAACTGCGTCTCCCGTCACCTTAAATCCCAGAGCATAACCACAGCAGCGTCATGTATGGCAGGGACGCTGTAGGTATCACCGTATCAGACGAATGGGTCTCGTTCGTTTCTGTGCCTAATTGCTATTGCGTCAGCATATCCGCAGTCTGGCCCCCAAATCGGTGCGTGGAGAACTTCAAGGTCCACGTGGGGGCGCAACTGGATCCGATCTGATCGGCCTAATTTAGTCTGATTTAGTCTGATTTAGTCTCGACTATAAGGTTGGCAGACAGGGGGTTATTCCGACACATGCAGAATCGAACATTTCGGGAATGTGATCAAAAGCGTTTGCCGTAATGGATTGAATGCGAGTGATAATAAGAATAATAGTTTGCTAAATCCCAACCCTCCAGTGGCGTTTATCGTGAGTTCATGCCACTAAGATCCCGTATCCCGTCCTGCAGTCACCATGGCAATCGCCAATTATCTGCTGCCTCTGATTCCGGTCGGATTCTTCCTCCTTTCTGGCGTTGTTTCGTTCGTGGCCATCAATGTGCGGCAGACGTACCGGCCGTATCTCCTGCCCGTCTTCCTCCTGGCTGCCGGGCTTTCTTTCGCCACGATCAATTATTTCCAATGGCCATCGGGGCTGAATAGCCTCTGGGGCATGGCCCTCACCGTGTACGTGATGCATCAGACGTCCATTCTCTGCATCGAGAAATACGTCCTCCCGAGCAGGAGGACGGACGGTGCGTGGGACTGGCTGGGCGCGTACAAGACGTGGCTCAACCCGCGCCTCCTCAACACGCCCCTGGAGGCTCCGGGCATCAGGAAAGCGACTCGCCCGCAAGGGAAGGCGAGGTTCGCGATGCGGTGCCTGATCAAACTCGTCTTGTACTGGGCGGTGAACGAGTATGTCATCAACCGCACTATCCAACGCATCACGGCGACGGACTCCCTTTCCATCCAGCACTTCTCCGCCCCCGTCGGGGAGAGCTACTTCCGGCGGCTGCTGCTGCCGGCATCCTCATCGTCTATACCAGCAATCACCTACCAAGAGACCATTCTGCACGCCGTTTTCGCCATCCACTGGATCTGGGGCTCGTACATCGGCATCGATGGGGCACACGCGATCCTGTCGCTTCTTTTCGTCATCGTGTTGCGCCTCGACACCCCCGAGGAGTGGCCGCCGCTCTTCGGGAGTCCTCTCGAGGCGTACAGCATCCGACGCTTCTGGGGCCGGTTCTGGCACCGGATTGCGTACCGGCCGCATACGAGCTGTGGCCGGTGGCTATCGAGGAACGTCCTGCAGCTAAGACCCGGCTCCGTCGGGGAGAAGCTCTTCGTGGCGTTTGCGGTATTCACGTTCTCGGGCATAGCGCATTCGCTCGTCTCCTGGCAGCGGGGAGACCAGTGCGGACGTCTGACCGACATCTGGTTCTTCTACCGGAACTTCGCCGCAGGGGCGGTGGAGACGGTGGTGATGAAGCTGATCCGGGGCTCGAAGACGCTGGACGGGCTGCTGCGGAGGAGTGTCGTCGGCAAGATACTTGGGTATGCGTGGGTGTTTGGGTTCTTCTTCTGGAGTGTGCCCAAGTGGGAGTTTCCGAAGATTTATTGTCTTTTACAGAGTTATGATTCCGAGAGTTAGATAGACAGAGCAGGAAAAACTAGATTCCTTTTTCTTTTTCTTTCACTATCCTTTGCTAGAAAGTTGTGCAAAGTTAGATAGACTTAAAAATCTCACAAGTTTTCTCTGAACGACTTGTATCCGGACGACCTGGATTCCACGCCCTGACATACTAAAGGCAGAACTGCATTTTGATTCTACAAACCAGACCAAATTCTACGGCGGTGGTGTGATACAGCGCTACTCTTGGTAATACAAGCGACGCTCTGCTGAGAAGTTCTTCTATTTCGTGCTATGGGTATCATCTCTATCTCAGCCAGAGGCAATGTATGTGCAAAAGGCAATATAATGGCATTAATCTTGCCGCTGCAACACCGTCGATCCCTCTAGCCACGAATATTATTGAAACACTGGTAAACAGACAAATAAAACCTCAAACAAGACCGTGTGACTGAACAACTACCCAATCCCAACCCAATCTGACCGTCGCTAAGATACCCCGACTCTGCGAAGTGACGACTCGCTTAGTTGGCCTTGGGAATGCCACGGGCCTCCAGAGCGTCGGCCAGCTGGTTGATCTCGTCATCGGTGAGGTTGGTGTACTGCACGCTGGAGGCGCTCAGCGGCGTGGGCACGGGGCCCGAGACGGGGGTTCCGAGGAGGACCGTAGCAAGGTCCATGCAGGCCGGGGGCACGCCCTCAGCGCGGATGGCCTCTGTGGCCCTTGTCAGATTCGTTCGTTTTTTTTTTTCGACGCTGTGAATTAGGTTAGGTACTTACCACGCGTGCCGCTCAGGTAGACCGTCGCGTTGCGAAGCTGCGCCTTGCACAGGTCTACCGACTGCTGCGAGACACCCGGGGGGTAAGAGGTAGCGTCCGTGCTGCGCTTGTGCCCGCTGCTCGACTTGGCGACACCAGCACCGATGGCACCGGAGATACTGCCGGACACAATACCACCGCAAAGGGAGGCGATGAATGGAAGAGGGATGGGCGCAGGGCAGAACTGGACGAGAGAGAGGAGGGCAATGGCCCCGAGACCGAGGAACTTCATTTTGACGTGGTGATGAAGAGATTTCGGGTCAGAAAGTGTGTTTTTGTGTAGAGTTGAGATGTCAAGATCTGAGGTTATGCTTGTTTGCGAGGCTGATCAGGATGATGATCCCAGAGCAGGCATGAAGTCGCTTTAAGTATTATTCCACAACGCGAGCTCGGTTCGCTCCCTTCCGAGATGTCTGTACGTCACCGCGGACGAAGAAGAGAATGATATCACCTGGTTACATGCCTCTGGGGCCGTGTGCTCGATGGATCTTGTGATAGTAGAGACCTAACTCGGAGCAAAGTCCCCTACCAAGACCACGGTGGAGTCGAGATGATGGAAGGATCAATGAATCTGGCAGTAGAAGGTTATTGCACGGCAACATAAGGCCCCCAACAAACACCATGGTGGAGACTTCAGCTGTTGTGAGAGACGTAGAAACACGATCGTGTACGAGTATACCACTTTTTTTTCAGGCCCATTGTCAAACGCATCAGGGGAAAGCACACGCGATCCGAGTATTCCGGATCGCTAGCCAGGCTGTGATGGAACAGACGTGGAATATAAGGTTCTGCAAGTCAAGGGGCCGAAGAATGGAGTAAGAGTAACGGCCGTAAGCTTGTTTTCGAATACCCTTTTCGAGAATAGTCCTTCGTGTGGGAAGTGTAGCTCGGATGGATCGGTGCCTATAATCCGATGATGAGGCACAGATTTAGCTATTCCTGATAGCGAGGGGGCCAGAGAATGGAGCCTGAGGAGATAGTCATGGAGTTAGATAACACCATGGTGGAGTAATAGAGAATGCACGTGTTGACGATATTCCTTTGTCGGCAGAGCACGCGGTAGCTGGTGCATACGAATCTGTATCATAATATAGATTAGCTGTTCTGATGCCAAGGGGCCAAGAAATGGAGGCCGGGGAAATTCTCAGGCTAACAACGCCATGGGCAGGAATAGAAACCGTGTGCAAGTCGCGATAAACCTTGGGAGAACAATCAGCAAGCGAGCCGGCGCGATAGTGGAGTATCAGGACTGACAGGGTTCTGGAACGGGAGGTCCTGGGGATGTCTGAAAGCCATGGGGCCGCAGAATGGAGCCTGGGAGAAGCAGGCACGCCGTACAGACGAGTGCCTGCTTCCACGTGCCTCGCAGGAGCACGCCAGCCAACCTTAGCTAACTTCCTTAAGGGCTCTGCGCGCGGGATCGATTCCGCGCGGACGGTAACGTTGGTAAACAGGCGATCGTCTAACTGTCTAACGAAGATACGCATAAATCTTAGCTTACTTCCCGCGATGGCGCTAGTCCCAGACAGGCAGGACCCTGCTGATCTCGACGGCTCGGCGGCAGCCGTCCACGTGTCGGCGCGGGCCAATCAGACGCCTCCCTCCCGTGTTCCTGACTTGGCAGCTCGGATGGCATCACGGATCTCCTCAGGCACTCTCAGCCATCCTTCGCCCCCCCCCCCGCCTGGTTCCTGAGCGCCCACGCGAGCTCTTATCGTCTTCTCTTGCACAATGGTTCTGTTGGCCTTTCGCTCCGTCACAGCCGACCGGGAACAAACACGGGAAAAGAAATGGGGGACGGGGCGGAATCGTCTGAGGTGATGTATCCGATATCCTCGACTATCGGACCATGTCGAGATATAAAGTTGACCAGAAGAAGCGTCGATGATCTCTTCTTCGTCCTCCGCACGCATCAGCTCACTTCTTGACAATTGCCCACTTCACAGAAGATTCTTGTGTTTATCCCAAGTCTTTACAATGAAGTTCGTCACTGTCGTATCCTCTGTCATGAGCCTCTTGGCTCTGGTCCAGCTGTGCCCTGCGCCGGTTGGGCTCATCGACATGGCCATCATTTGGGTCGACTCCGCCATCGCCGGTGCTGCTGTCTCGACGGCCATTAAGAAAGGGGCTGGAGGCAAGCGCGACGAAATCAAGGGCTTCGCCGTGCCTGTGGTGAAACGCCCCGGTGAGAGCGAGCACGACAAGCGCGACGAGTGGGACAACCTGCCACAGCCCGCCGCCGACGAATGCAAAGGCCAGTTGAAGAGCGCGTACATCACGGTGAGCCCGCAGACGAACAACGGCGTGTGCCTGGACGGTGTCCCGCCGGCATGCATGACGCTGGCGACGATCCTGCTGGGCCAGGACGGCAGCCAGCCGATGCCGATCCCGATGGGTATGTCGCCTGTCAAGTCGACATGCTAGAATTTTTTATTACGGTATGCAGTTTGCTAACTGTGTTTGTGCAGGTTCTGCGGCGTTGCAATACAACAACCTGACCGAGGCCCAGGTCAACTACTTGCAGAATCTCCTCGATGCCCACAACGCGGGTAAGAACTAGGTGGCCGTTGACTTTCTGAAAGATTTTCAACCACGTACGGAGGGGGAGGGAGTGCTTCAAGAAGAGACTACTAGATTAAAGGATAGATTTTTGTGTGTATTTTTTAATATATACCCCGTTTCAATGGCAATGATAGAAGCCTATGTCTATGGGAAGCAATCATTAGATAGATAGAAAGAAAGAAATCGCTGGCCCGTTTTCTTTGTCTAGAATAGGTTATAGCTTTGTGCTTTCTATTACTTAGTAGTCTATCATTACGGAGTAAATACACCGCTCCCCGAATGACGTAATAATATATACTAAGAACCAAACCGGACAAGAAACAGCCATTGCAAGTGGAAATGGAAATTGATAAGCAGGAAAATTACGATTGCAATGCACTTGTATAAATTAACTCGTCTGCATTACCTATCCATCACCAACTGATGCGTTATGCTGTCATGCAAATAGTATGTGTAAAGAGCAATGTACCTTCTGTCCACGTGCTTCAATGCCATATGGACCTTCGAATCCCCGGTTATAGGGTGGAGGATCCTTACGTACGTAAGGTGCGGAGTAATAGGTATGGCCATCGATATCGCTGCACGCGACAGCAATACTGAATATGATTGGTTCAAAAGTTTATACTTGCGATTAAGGTTCTTATCTTGTGGGACAGGGCTTTGAAATACCTAGAATAGTACAATGTTAGGTACGGAGTATACGGAGTAAACATGAATGGCGCGCTTACTATAATTAACTCTGAGACGGGGGGAAGGCCTTATCTATCGGAAAATTTGACTTGATCGAGTCTAGCCAAACGCTAATTCGAACTGTACAGTACAGCACTGTTCCTATTAATAGGTGAAAACAAGCAAAGTAAACAAACACGATAAGTAAAGCCTTTGTGTCGACCAGTCAGGACTCAGGACGTCCGATCATACAATCGGTCATAAAATGTCGGAGTTCAGTTGTAGAAAAAAAGATATAACAGATCGATTGTGAGAAGGACTTTATTTTTCACTGATTTATGAAAGTAATGAGTATAGTTGAAAAGTACTGTATATAGTTGTGTGGAACGTGAAGATAACGTGTAGAAAGAGTAGATATATATTTCTCCTACAAGGGAAGGAGTTCATCTCGACACATACATTACCAATGATGAGTTTTGAAAGAATAAAAGATGACAATTTCTTTCTTTTTTCTTTAGATAAAAATTAATAAAGTCAAAAAAAAAAGATGAGAGAACAGAGTTATCGTGTAAGCGCAAAAACCATGGAATCGAGCAGCTTTCATCTCTCTTCTTCCTTTGGCAGTTTACATGTACACATATCCATTATCATGAGAAAGTAGTAAAGAAAAAAAAATCATAAATCATAAAATCATATTTGCAGACTTAATAATATTGTTAATGACTGCACAAAGAAAAGAAAAATAAGAAAGATCGAAGCAAAAATCCCACCCATACTCCGTATTTCGGCACCTAAGGAAGACATATATCTACCCATCGTCTGAGAAGTCATATAGAAACTCATCTTCTGAAAGAAAGAAAGAAGTCTTGCCCAATGTATCTACCTCAGTTTTCGTGTGCAGCATGGGGAAGAGAGTATGTATGTACAGTACATGCCTATTTATCTATATACCCAAGCGTAACAATCATGCCATGCAACCATCACGCCTAACCTGTAATTCTCCATTCATGAGGTGTCAAAGACCAGCTGATGTGTAATGCCTGTTTCGGGCGCAGCAGGTGAGAAAGAAGAGAGAGAGAAAGGAAATGTCCTGTCGACGGCGTCCCCTCCTGCTCGGCTCGATGTCGTGACAGTCCGCTGCGCGATCTACTACGTGACAACCTGCCTCGGAATGAAGTCGGACAGGATGACAACAATGACAGCAACCTGATGACGGAAGAATCAGCACACACGCCTCGAATAGTTCACGTCATCAGCCCTACCAGCGACAAGTCCATTCCTTCGGCCACATCAACCTCCCACTTGGGCCGGTTTCCCTTAACACTGTAAACATACAGCTGTTCCTTGGGAACGGGGATTCGGCGGACCTGAGCCACCTTGCATCCGTCAATCGTGATATGCGTGGTAATGTAATTGGAGTCCTTCCCGCGGACTTCAATGGTGACGTCTTCGCCCTCGTCGGCCTTTTTGGGCACGACGGCGTTCTTCAAGACGATATCGAACTTGGGCAGCCCGAGCGTGGACTTGAAAACGCCCGTCAAAAGGCGGCTGCCACCACCGCCGGGGAGCTCGAGGAACCACGCGTTTTTCGAGAGCCATTTCCGGCACAGGTCGAAGAGCGGGAGGCCAGTGTTGTCTTTGAACTGTCGCCGCTGGCTCATGGTCCCGGGCTTGCCGTCGACGGTGAAGAGAGGCGATCCGTCCGCCTTGGTCACGGTGAAGTCGAGGCCATACCACGTGTGATCGAGTTGCTTGATGGTGATCGTGGTTGCGGAGCGGGCAATGAACTCTTTGCGTATGGCGACCGGCTGCTTGGGCGGGTCGAGTTGCAGTCGTGCATGGTCGTCCTCCTTGACGAGCTGCCTGTAGGTGTCCATGACAGCCTCTCCTGATCGACCCATGTCTGCCTATGTAGCAAGTGTTGGAATAGTCTTTGATAAAATAGTTGATAAGGAGGTAGTTAACGACGCTGTCGGCAGGGTTAGCATTTAGCAACCGCTAAATAGCAAACAACAGCGGACGATGACGTCGCAGCGCAACGCGCCAGCAGTTTTCCAACCGGACCAGCCAGTCATTGCCAGAGATCGATCCACAAAGACCAAGATTAGACCAAGATGAGGAGTCTTGGAATGCAGCAAGGCTGAGCTAGGCGCTGTCCACGAGCCTCGGCGAGCCCCACTGCCGACAGGGCGCCGAACGTGGGGGCCGCAACAAGGAATAATCCACCCTTTATCTGTCCAGTTTGGAGCGTTCTGAGTGTCTCTTTATCTTCAGAACAGAATTCTGTGAGAACTCCATCTTCCATCCGCTTGCCCAGCATGCTCGAGACAGTGCGGTCCGCCGGGCCGCAGCATCGCCGGTTCTTCTCCGCCTCGAGTCTCCGCGGAGGCCTATCGAGCGCCTTATCGCTTCTCCTCGTGCTGGGCACGTCGTACATGGTCTGGAAGGCGCTGTCGATCATCACCAAGTCGTCGCATCCCATCGTCGTCGTCATCTCCGAGTCAATGGCTCCAGCCTTCCACCGCGGCGACATCCTTTTCCTCTGGAACCGCAACCCCGTCGTGCGCGCGGGCGAGATCCCCGTGTGCTGGTTCCCGGGGAGACCGCTGCCGATGGTGCACCGCGCCATCAAGGTCTTCACGCAGAGCGCGGGGGAGGCTGCTCAGCGAACGGCGTATGTAGTGATCTGCTCAAGGAACGTGTGTACCAGCATCTAACACGTCGCAGACAGTATATCCTGACCAAAGGCGACAACAACGAACTGGACGATGTGGCTCTCTACCCCGTAGGCCAAGACTTCGTCCACCGCGAGCAGGTCGTCGGCGTCGTCAAGGGGTATCTGCCATACGTGGGCTACATCACCATTGCGCTCAACGAATCCGCCTGGTTCAGGGGCGTTATGATTGCGATCCTGTTGAGTGTTGGCCTGCTGTCGTCATAAATGAATGAATAGTATATGGTTACGATCAGAGGACGCTCCGCTGTACTGGTACAGCGTGGAGAACACCTACTGGATTCCCGATATTCATTCAGCAGTGCATACATTTCTTCTCTGGAAGATAGAAAATCTCATCGTGATCCCTCGCGGGTGAATCCTCTGTCGTCCGCCCGCACTATATCCTCCCGCAGAACACAACAATTCGTGTTCGAGATCGATCAGACGGACGGACGGATGAGAAAAACGATACTCATGACAGCGTTAAAGCTCCGCAGAAATGCGTGATACAGATCTACCAAACGAAAAAAAATCCATACCTAGCTCATCCCTCCTTGTCGTCATGGTGGGAACTGGACCTTTTGAAGAAAAAAAAGAGGGGAATTTGGTAAGTGACGATGTACATTACATACATGCCTGTTTTACATGGTATATAGATGTATAGATGGAAATTATGCTGTATTACTTATTTTTTCTTTGTTCTTTTTTCTTGGTAGGAATTGGCCCTCCAGTAGTAAGACTCGAGAGGACACGTAGTAATCTGTTAGAAGGTCTTAGGTACGTAACTTGAGGGGTATGACTTATCTACAACGCACAGCTCCAAAATAATAGCATGAGAACTCAAGCTGAATGAGCTGGCACTATTCAGTCAATGCTACCAGTCCATCACTCCGGCCCAATGATGTTGGCTGCTGCGACCATGTGGAAGGAGCGGCCAGTCAACGACAGTAGTATAATGCTGTCCAAGGCAGCTTCCGCCGTGACTAGGGCAGCGATCCGAATGCCGTGCTACCGGACGGCATAGCTTTTGCTTAATGCTACTACTTCATAAACGGAGTATGCCGCTGAGTATTTATATACGATGATCGCCTTCTGACAGAGCCACCACCCGCTCTTTCTGAGTCTGTCTGGGGCACTCCCCACTCTACTGCCATCCATCACGATGCGCATCTTTGCAGCTGCCGTCCTGGCTCTGTGCGCGCCCGCATGGGCAGCATCGCCATCCTCCGCGTTGGCTGATCTCGCGCTGGAAAAGGTCCTCCGCGACGCCGCGCCCATCTTCGGGATCTACAACCAGACCACGAGAACCAACACTTCGGAATGGATGAAGAACATCCCCGACGACACGCCCATCGTGCGCATGAACATCCCCGGCACATGACACCGCCACCTGGAACTAGGCGCTGGCAACGCAGCAGGCCCTCGATGGCATCACCAGCCAACTCAACGGCGAGGCAGTGCCGCCGCCCGAGAACTTGCGCTGCCAGGATCGCTCCCCGGTGGACATGCTGAACGCCGGAATCCGCGTCTTTGACCTGCGCTATGCCTTCGATGCCACCAATTCCACCATCGTCTTCTACCATGGTCCCGCTCTCCTCTCCGAGACGGCCACTCTCGAGGATCTCCTCTTTGGCTTCTACCGCTGGCTCGACGACCACCCGTCCGAAGCCGTCTTCCTGTCACTGCAGTACGAGGCCGGCACGGCGCAGCATGCCTCCAACAATGCCGCTGTCCAGCAAAAACTCCTCGACATCCTGACGTCCGACCACGCCCGTCGCTACTTCGTCCAGACACAGAACGAGTTCGGTACTCTGGGCCAGGCTCGCGGCAAGATCACGCTGCTGCGCCGGTGTGACCTCGACCAGCTGCCCGCCTCCGCGTCAGCCTCCTTGCCCGGAATTCATTTCTCCCCAACCCTCTGGACAGACAACTCGCCAAATATTACGCTGGTGTACAACACCCAAAAGAATCTGACGGCATACATCGAGGACTACTACCAGCCGCTGACTCCTCAGGGGTCGTCAGCCGCCCTGAACATCCAGTGGAAGTACAACGCCACGACAGCCAACCTCCTCCGTGCTGCCAGTGACGAGCATCCCGACAGCCTGTTCTGGACCTTTGCTTCAAGTGAAAACACCGCCAATTCGCCGCCCGATTTTCCCCGTATCATGGCCCTGGGCAACGGGACACAGTCGACGCCCAAAGGCGGCATCAACCAGCAGTTGGTCCCTTTCCTGAAGGGCCTTAAGGGGAAGCGCGTGGGCATCGTCATGTTTGATTTCTATGAGCAACCAGGCGACCTGGTTGACACACTGCTGAGTTTGTAAACCACAGTGGAGTGTAGGTGACTGGGCGAAGGACTGTGCGCCCGAGGGATACTACACTTCCATGTTAGCGATAGTGTATATAAGTTGTGACCAAACCCGGAACCAGATAAAGACTGTATAAACCGAGTTTAACACTATTCTATAGATATATCTGCCCAAAAAAAATAGACCGTGCTGTAATGTGGGATGACAAGTGGAACACAGTCAAGTAAAAATGCAAAACGAGATATTAAAACCTATTAACAATATTATCAGAGAGCCGCAAGCGAGTCAGGCTGGGCCTCCTTGGAAAGGCAATCAAGAAAAATAAAAAATTAAACAAAAAAAAGATAACAAGAGAACAATATATATATTAGACAAAATTCCTCAAAAAGCTCTCGCTTTCCCTTTGCCTTTGTCCATCCTACTAAGATGAGGCGGCGTCGACGGAGGCATCAGCGCCGGGAACTCTTCTTCTTGTGCAGCAATCGCCTCTTTCCGGCTCTGCTCCTCCGCCAGACTTAGTTGTATGGCAAATTCCAAATCATCTTCTTCCTGGCGAGTGCTGCTCTCTGCCACCGGGCAGGGGGTTGCCGGATATGAATTCGACGACCGGCGCCGGTTGATCTTAGCACCCTTTGCATACTTGATGGGAATCGAGTTGGTGGGGGAAGGAGAGTCGAATGAGCCCGGATTCTCATCAAGCAGGCTCAGTCGAATCGCTTCCGCAATATCCGGAGCGAGTTCTTCTTCCACCGTATCAAGCACCGGTGACGACGAAGACGAAAATTCACGCGGAGGGAATGAGCTGTCTTGCGCAGCAATAGTGTCACTCGACACGCTGCTGGCAAAAACGCTCCCCTCGCCCTCTCTCCGTTTCAGTTCGTCATTGTTATACGATTCTTCGCTCAACATCTGCGCATAAGCGATGAGCTCTTCCTCCGTGGCATCTGGTCCCAATAAGTCGATGCCAAAGCGTCCTCTCAGACGCTCCCTCTCCTTTTGCTCCGCAATCTTTTGCCTCTCCAGTTCCATCTGCTCATCAGCGATGTAATCTCTCAATGCTCCGCGACCAGAGCTGCTAAACCGCTGACCTTCGGGAGAGCCATTACTGCCACGCTGTGATCGCCGGACACGGCGCTTGCTGCTCTTATACTCATCGGCAGCAGAAGAGCTGTAAGACCAATACCGCACATGGGTTCCCAGTGAGACCATGCCTCTCAGAACGGTGGGATCCGGGTCGAGACAGATGGCACCCGCCGCGAAGTAGTTGTTGCCTACCCCGAGAAGGGAGGCCTCTGCCTGGATCAGGCGACGACGAGCACGAGACGAGAAGCGTGAGTTTAGCGTGCGGATCGGCCGCGAAGACGATGCGAGCGGATCCCAAGCCTGCACGAGACCATCGTTTCCACCATGCACCATATACAACGAGGTCAAGGCAAGACACGAAATCTGCGGAGAGTCGGTGCGGATCACGCGGAGAGGGGAAACCTGATTGATCACGTCAGGAGTACGGGAAGTAGGTGCCCGTACATCCCACACATACACTGTGCCAGTAGCCGTCCCAGCAGCCAGGAACCGAGCACGTTGACCGGGAATTTCAGATACGGAGGACGGTGAACCCATATGCGGCAAAGGCGAAGACAGGGGTGAAGAGGCAGTTGAAGCTCCAGACATGCCAAGAAGAGGGTCTTCCGAGACGGTAAGTTGAGCGTACGTGGACTGGTCCAGCGCGCTCGCTGTCAACTTAATCGACTTTGGTCCGTCGAAAACAAATTCCGAAACCCGCCATTCTGTGTTGACGACAGAGGATACATTGTCACTCAGATGGCTAGAAGCCCTTGATCGAGGCTCCGGGGTACTGGGGCCGCCAAAGAGAGAACTGGTCGGTTTGGGCCCATGAACACCAGAGCATGGTTCAGATGTCAAGGGACGCTCGACTCGGACCTTCTGTCTTGTAAAACGGCGTATGGACGCTCCTTGGCCCTCACTAACGCCGCAATTCAGGATAATGACAGATTCGCCAGCACCATTAAGGTCGTCGCCCGCAAAGTCAACTTTGAATTGTCGCTGCATATCCCAACCTTCGCAAACTTTGCGGAAATGTTTAGGCTTAAACGCGAGAAACTTTTCGATCTCTCTTGTCTCAGCGGCTATCTGGTCCTCATTCAGACCCATCGAGTCGGATGACGACCGTGGGCTGTAGCTGCCATCGACCAGCTGCTGATTAAATGGATCTGGCCGAGCGACGCGCCTAGTCGCCTCGATGAGTTCCCAACGGACACTCCTACCGGTTTTCCAAGCCAGCCTTTCGAGCTGCTGCGCATTGGGCTTAGCAGGTACCTCTGGTTGTACCGGAATTTCAGTCAGATAGTACACCTCACCAAGCGCATTCAACACGGCCGCCCAGATACGACGCTGCGAATAACGCTTAGCAGAGAAGTTCTCGTCCACTGCGATGGCGATAATGGGTACCCCGGGACTGAGCACCCATTTCGCGGTTACCTGGCCCCGCTCAAACCGGCGATCGTGGGAAGGACTCGTTCCCAGGGAATAAGCTGTCAAGATACCGGAGGATGAACCGGTCAGGATGCCAACCAATCCGTTGGTCATTTTGATGACATTGGGTGATTTGGCAATCCAGACGGAACTGATAGCTGTGGTGATCACATTGATAGCGGGAATGCCCAGATGGGGTTCCGATTCCAACTCAGAGACGCTCAGGAAGCGTCCTCGTTGCTCACCGGAGGCGATAAAATAACACCGGCCTCGCGGGCATCCTTCACCGTAGACCATCCCATAGGGCTGGCTGACATCCATTGAATTGGGAAGTCCAACCATATCACCAGAGCCCAGCCCATATTCGGCCTCACCGGGGAAGAGATCGGCAAAGTGCTGGAAGGCCTGCTGGCCTGACAACCCCCAGCTGCCCGTCTTGCCGGTGGTGGGATCACTCGTGGTGGCAGCCCCCTGCTCCGCCGCGCCATGGATGAAGAGGGGCGGTTTTCCCGTTGCACCTGTTGGAAATAATGCATCGAGATGAGTGACTGGGTAAATGAGACGGGAGGTATACGTCGTCACAGGGGAGCCGTTCTGAATACCGCTCGCACGGGAGGAGCCATGCTTTCCCGGAGACGGAGGCTGGGCCGGCTTGCCTCTAGACAAGGACCGGAGCAGGCGCGTCCTCAAGATATATTCGCTTCGCCAAGAGGCCAGCGCCGTCAACCTGGTAAAGGCTCGTTTGTCCGAGATGAGATGATCCGACGACGCGGCAGCAGCCTGGTTCTTGTAAAGGCTATACGGCCCCGGGAAATAGCGGGAGAAAGCGATCCTCCAGGCATGAGGGGTCGTCACCAGTGTATGAAAGCGACGAGACACGAGCGTAATGGCCGTCAGAGATGAAGGCGGGAGGTGGGAGAGAATGTGGGTCAGAACCTCTGAGAGTTAACAGTTAGCAAGCCAGACTCCCAAAAAAATATCATGCCTCAGTTATCGCAGGCATACCATTGGGTAGATCCGCAAGAGAACGGCGCGGCGTAGGTCGCGAGGAGGAGACCTTGGAAGCTGCAATGGATTGCCTCGTCAGGTCAAGCTGAGCTCCCTCGGGCGGGCTGCTGCTACTGCTGCGATGGACTGATGGCGATGACGCAGAAAGTGCGTTATCGGTCGTGCTCAGTCGTCGCAACAGCGAGCCGTCATCCTCGGCCGGGACGCGAGAGGGGGATGCATCAGGGTCGACGATGTCGACGGATGCCCCGTGGCCTTCGGCATCTCCACTAGGGAGCATGCCGAAGACCGATTCATCACGACAAAGGTCATTTCCATGCTGGAAGAGGTTGGAAGGAACTGCGGGGTTGGCGTCTACGGGAGTACTTTGGGAGACGGCAGTATTAGGCTCTGATGGCATAAAATGTGGTGACGCGGGAGTGAGGGAAAGCGGGAGCGACTGATCCAGGCTAGACTGGGTCAGTCGAAAGCAATGATAACGAGCAATGCGCGGGGAGGAGCGACGTGAGAGACCGGCTGTGACGTGCGACGATGGGAGAACAAGAGAGGAGGGACGGAGGAAGGAGGAACGCGAAGATGCAACGAAAACGACACGGGCGAGTCCCGATGCTGACTAAGCCGTTTCTTGCAGCACGTTCGCCTTCGAAGATATGCAATAGGACAGACGATTCAGATGCAGTCAGGAGAGCTTTAACGTTCAATTTTCTAGTATTTTCTCTGATAAGAATGCCCTCATCTGAATTTCATTGTGAGTCTGCTTTTCCAGATAGAATCACGATCAACAATACCGTACTCGAAGGGGTGTCAATTCCTCGAGACACCGTAACGGGATAAATTAGTTAAGCGTATCGACACTCAACATATGTGGCAATTCATTTCCTGTAGTCTCTTGTTTGCTCTCTTTTCCCCTTCATTTCCTTCCTTTTTTCTTCCTTACATTTACTTTTGATTCTCTTCTTCTTTTTTGTTTTTATTTTCCTGATCAGTGTCCCATATTGCAGTATTATTGGCAAATTACGGTACTGAAAATTAATTGCACGTAATTTTTCATGTCTGCGGGAACGCGTCACGTGGCGAGGACGCGCCAGAAACACGACTGACCAGGAAGAGACGAAATCAACAAAAGAACAAGAGGGGAAAGAAAAGGGAAGGGGATCTTAGGCCGACGAGCAACACAAAGGGTCGTTAGGTCGATGCGTGTAATAAGGCCTGTGCTGTTTTCCCCCGGTGGGTTTTGATCCTGGGCGGCTTCTAGGCAACATCCCGCAGCCTCACCCTTTTACAAACTGACGGGGGTGGTACTTTCTTTGAGGGCAATCTTCCTTTCTTTCCTCTACTAGATAGAAAGGATAGGTTTTTATCACTGAGGATGCCCTCACTCACCGGTAAGGCTAACTACGCCCTCGCAGTCTGTCCTCCCGACTAACCCGTATAGCCGCGGATACGATCCGCATCCTCGTCTCAACCGACAACCATGTCGGCTACAATGAGCGAGATCCTATCCGGGGTGACGACAGTTGGAAAAGCTTCCACGAGATTATGTGTCTGGCGAAGGAGCGCGATGTCGACATGGTCCTCCTCGCTGGCGATCTCTTCCACGAGAACAAGCCGTCTCGCAAGTCCATGTACCAGGTGATGCGGTCACTGCGCATGAACTGCTTGGGCGATAAGCCCTGCGAGTTGGAGATGCTCAGTGACGCCAGTGAGAACTTCCAGGGCGCTTTCAACCACGTCAACTACGAGGACCTCGACATCAATGTCGCCATCCCCGTCTTTTCCATTCATGGTAACCATGACGATCCATCCGGGGAAGGTCATCTGGCTGCCCTGGACATACTCCAAGTGTCCGGACTGATCAACTACTTCGGTCGGACGCCAGAGTCGGACAATATTCAGGTCAAACCTGTCCTTCTACAGAAAGGCCGCACCAAATTGGCGCTCTACGGCATCAGCAACGTTCGTGATGAACGGCTGTTTCGTACATTTCGCGATGGGAAAGTCAAGTTCTTCCGGCCCTCGATCCAGAAGGAGGACTGGTTCAACCTGATCTGTGTCCATCAGAACCACCACGCCCACACGGAGACGGGCTACCTCCCCGAATCCTTCCTGCCAGACTTTCTCGACCTGGTCATCTGGGGCCACGAACACGAGTGTCTGATAAACCCCAGACGCAACCCTGAAATGAATTTCCACGTCATGCAGCCTGGCTCCTCTGTGGCCACGTCACTGGTCCAGGGAGAAGCAGCACCCAAGCATGTAGCGATTCTCAGCATCAAGGGCCGGGAGTTCCACTGTGAACCTATCCGCTTGAAAACAGTGCGTCCATTTGTCGTGCGAGAAATCGTCCTCTCTGAGGAGAAAGGGGCCCAGAAACTGGCCCGAAAGGAGAATAATCGGACAGAAGTCACCCGGTTCTTAATGTCTATAGTGGAGGAGCTGATTGAACAAGCCAAAGCAGAGTGGCTGGAGGCACACCAAGACGACGATGTCGATGAGCAGGATATTCCTCTCCCCCTTGTACGTCTTAGAGTGGAGGTTTCTACACCAGAAGGTGGCAGCTTCGACTGCGAGAACCCTCAGCGGTTCTCCAATCGGTTCGTGGGCAAAGTCGCGAACGTCAACGACGTGGTTCAATTCTACCGTAAAAAGAAGTCAACAACGACTTCCCGCAAGGCAGATAATCTCGATGAGGCGGTGGTGTCGCATCTTTCCGAGCTCGATACGGTGAAGGTCGAGAAGCTAGTACGGGAGATTCTCACTGCACAGTCTCTCACCATCCTTCCTCAGAACTCGTTCAGCGATGCAGTCTCCCAGTTCGTGGACAAGGATGACAAGCACGCCATGGAAATGTTCGTGAACGAGTCGCTAGAGAACCAGGTCAAGTATCTGATGTCCCTGGAACGGGAGGCCGACATGGACGATGAGGAGGAGAGTCATCAATCTTTGCGGAACGCCATGGAAAAATACCGCAGTCAGATGGAGGAGATGTTTGCGAAGGGCGCCATGAGACGTACGCGAGGGAAGAAGCGCTTCAAACCGAAGCCCGATGGCTGGGATACCGATCTCGACGGCGTATGGGAAGACCAGCCGGGCGCATTGATCCTCTCTGACAATGAGGATGCCGACCCGAACGAAGAGGAGGCCGCAGAGGATGGTACGGAGAGACAGACCACGTCCACTCGAGGCAGAGGTCGAGGTCGTGGAGGCCGGGCTGCAACCACCACCACTTCCACGCGCAAGACGACTGCTAGCAAGACTCCAGCAGCCAGCTCACGAGGCCGGAGACGCCAGGCTGTTTCTGAAGACGAAGACGAAGACGAGGGCGATGATGTGGTGGTGCTGGATGACGATCAGGAGGAGCCGGAAGAAATGGTCTCGGATGACGATTCTCAGGCACTCTTTGTCAAACAAACACCTCCACCCAAAACGGGTCGAACGCGCCAGACAACACTCACTTCGACCACAACAGGCACCCAGCGGCGATCTGGACGAACTGCACCTTCGCCAGCGCCCTCCTCTGCCACTGCAGCAGCTTCGACGGCCCGAAGTGGGACGCGAGGTGCCGCTGCTAGCAAACGGACCCAGCAGACGACACTCAACTTTGCGCCGTCGCAGACCAGTTCCGTGGGCACTGGACAGGTTACAGGTACTGTTACGGGTACGAACACGAGACCGTCACGGACAACACGAGGCGTTAGCGTGGTGAGTGAGGAAGATATCGAGGATGACGACGATGATGCGTTTGAGCCGGCACCAGCGACGACTCGGAGGCGGCGATAAAAACAGTCGCTCTTGAAGAGTAATAATTGCCGTAATGCAGCGCCATGAGCATGAAAATACGTGCAGTCTTTTTTTTGTTGTTATTGTATGGATTACTGTCTAAAATCTCAAGGATTCAAAAAGCGTGTAGTAAGGAGTAAGGTATCTAATCTACAAATGGGAACTGGAAAAATTAAATTAGATGAATGCAGGGATATATGCCCCCAAATTGAGGACTACAAATTTAGTATCTATTTGCCTAATCATCGGGATGATAGGTATATACTTCTCCTGGGTTTCAATTTTGTAGAATCAATTTTTTTTACGATGAAATCATGACCTTCTAGCAGTTATATGTAGAAGCAAGTAATACTAATACTGAAGACAGTCACTGGGCTCCGCTGTTAACCATGCATGCATTAGTAGGGGCCTTTCTTGGTCGACATTCCTCATTCGTTGCTAATCCATCCAACAGGTCTGAAGAGCTCCAGGCGGGGTTCTATGCTAAAAGGCAAAAGGAGGGGCAATAGCAACTTTGTTCTATAGGGGAAAAAAAATCTCCATATGACCGATACGATAAATATCTTGGGAGTGTCATAATTCGGCGTGTACAGACTCGGAACTGGAGGGGAATACGGGCAAAATCCATAACAAATGTCGATGACAGACCGCAACTCGTTTACAGAATTAGATCGATGGAGCTGTGATCCTTGATCTGGTTGGCTCGTCCCCTGAGCCTGGGTCCGGGGAATGACCTGATCAGCGGCTGGCGCGCTGCGGGGTACGAAGGCCGAACCCCCTCCGTCTTCCGTCTCCCCGGACACGCCGTCTGTTGCGGAGATTTCCGGGGTGCGCAATCCCAAATAATAATATCTGTCCCGTGCCTGGCCGCAGTGCGTGCCAGCGTTGGTGATAGATATTTAGGGTTGGTCTGGCTTCGGTCAGATGGCAGTTCCCTTCATGAGATTAGCAGTGAATCCTGTATGCATATTGCGTCATCTGTCGCCTTCCCGTAGATCGACCATCTTTGCTTGTCAGATATCGATACACTAGCAGGCTCGAAACTCCAGGATTGGAATTGTTCCAGCAACGGTCACTACTGATGCTGATCCCCGCCGCGGTCGTAGATTGTGGAGCAAACTCCGTGCGTTTAACCCATGTCTCTTACGTGTCATCTGAAACGCGTTTGAGAGCAATCAGCTTCCAGCAGGCAAAAATGCAGGCCTAGAATTGGAATGTTTTCTTAGCACGTCGAGTGCGCTCAACAGCTATTGGATGACAGGGCGATCAGGAAGCGCCTCGGACGAACGGCGAGGAGAGAAGGACGAGAGGAAGCTTCTCCTGCATGATAGAAGTCAAATCAGCAATGCAGCACCAAGGGAATCGATTCAGGTAGAACTCACTGTTATTGATTGCAAATACTCCTGCTGGAAGGTATTCAGCCCTCTCATTCAGTCGTATCCCTGCCATGTCGAGGGTCTCGGGACTGGTAGAACGGCATCGGAGGTGCTCCGATGCTATCCTACATCCATCCCGCCAAGGCTTCCTGCGTCACACAAGAGATCCTCAGGCGGATGCAACCAGGCATGCTTGAAGAACTCACGCAGAGAAACAGAATGCACGATTCAGCAGCACGAGTGGGATGGAACGACGTGTGAACGAACCTCCGGAAATCCCCGCATAACGCAGGCAGCCCACTCCCGAAATCCCCGGAGTGGACCCGCTGCATGAACCTTCTGCGGGGGGCGACGACAGCGATGGACAAACTGCATCAACTCAGCGAGTCCAGACTGAATCTGATTCCGCGGCGCGCAGGCCGTACTGTACGGTAAGCTCGCTGCCCCGTCCGTGGGAGGCAGCTCCTTCGCAGCTGGCTTCCCTTGGTGCGGGCGGGCCTATCACGTCGTCGGATTTGCGGCCTTCTTACCTCACGTCCCCTCTGCGAGTCACTATTACGGCCAACCATGAGGAAAGGCACGGGTGGCGGCAGAAACCCCGCATCGGCGATACAGTCTGCCCGGGGAACTCGACACGATTTATAAGAGAGAGCTCCCTCCAGCGTCCCGAACCAGACTCTTCCCTCCTTCTTCTTCATCCATCGATCGATCCGTCCATCGATTCCCGCATCCACCATGGCGCTCTTCCAGGAAATCCAGACTCCCGCTCTCAAATACGAGCAGCCCCTGGGCCTGTATGTCCTCTGTCCCCTTGTCTTGGAAGAACTGACTGGACTGAACGCGCCTCAAGGTTCATCAACAACGAGTTCGTCAAGGGTGTCGAGGGCAAGACCTTCGAGACCATCAACCCCCACAACGAGAAGCCCATTGTCGCCGTCCACGAGGCCACGGAGAAGGATGTCGACATCGCCGTCAAGGCTGCCCGCGAAGCTTTGGAGGGCCCCTGGAAGCATGTCACCCCGTCAGAGCGGGGTCGCTTGCTGACCAAGCTGGCTGACCTCTTCGAGCGTGATGCCGAGATCCTCGCCAACATCGAAGCCCTTGACAATGGCAAGGCTGTGAGCATGGCCAGGCTGGACGTGGCCAACTCGGCTGGCTGCATCCGTTACTACGGCGGCTGGGCCGACAAGATCCACGGCCAGACCATCGACACCGACTCCAGCAGCCTCAACTACACCCGCCACGAGCCCGTTGGTGTCTGCGGCCAGATCATCCCGTGGAACTTCCCCCTGCTCATGTGGGCCTGGAAGATCGGCCCCGCCATCGCGACGGGCAACACCGTCGTGTTGAAGACGGCTGAGCAGACCCCGTTGTCGGGTCTGTATGCCGCCAAGCTGGTCAAGGAGGCTGGCTTCCCGCCGGGCGTCATCAACATCCTCTCGGGCTTTGGCCGCGTCGCAGGTGCGGCCATCTCGCACCACATGGATATCGACAAGGTCGCCTTCACGGGCTCGACCCTGGTCGGCCGTCAGATCCTGCAGGCGGCGGCCAAGAGCAACCTCAAGAAGGTCACGCTGGAGCTGGGTGGTAAGTCTCCCAACATCGTCTTCCCGGACGCCAACATCGACAACGCCATCTCGTGGGTCAACTTTGGCATCTACTTCAACCACGGGCAGTGCTGCTGCGCCGGCTCGCGGATCCTGGTCCACGAGTCCATCTACGACCAGTTCCTGGAGCGCTTCAAGCAGCGCACGCTGCAGAACAAGGTTGGCGACCCCTTCGCCAAGGACACCTTCCAGGGACCGCAGGTCTCCCAGCTCCAGTTTGACCGCATCATGGGCTACATCGAGTCCGGCAAGCAGGACGGTGCCAAGGTGGTCACCGGTGGCAAGCGTCTCGGCAACGAGGGCTACTACATCGAGCCTACTATCTTCTCCGACGTCAATGAGAACATGAAGATCGTCAAGGAGGAGATCTTCGGACCGGTCTGCACGGTCCAGAAGTTCAAGGATGAGGAGGATGCGATTCGCATTGCCAACACCACCAACTACGGTGAGTAACCCCCCTTTATTTCCTTCTTTAATTCTTTTCTGACAAACAACAGGTCTGGCCGCTGCTGTGCACACCACCAACATCAACACGGCGATCCGTGTGTCCAACGCCATCAAGGCGGGGTAAGTGGGCTCGTTGCACGTGAGGTTCTTCCCTCTACTAACATGTCCATCCAGTACCGTCTGGGTCAACAACTACAACCTCCTCCACTACCAGTGCCCGTTCGGTGGCTACAAGGAGTCCGGTCTGGGCCGCGAGCTGGGCTCGTACGCTCTCGACAACTACACCCAGGTCAAGATGGTGCGCATCCACCTGGGCGACGCTCTCTTCGCGTAAACGCCGTAGCCTGTCGGTCGTTTTTCCGATGGCGGGTGGGCTTGGGCCTCGCACCGAGCCCCTCCTTTTGCCATGCTCATGAATCGCTAATAATGAATGATATCCATCCGCCCTGGAGCAAGCAAACTGAGGACGGAGCGCTCCCATGTGTAAGGGTATTTCTAGGTGTTTTCTTTCCTGTAACTAGGTAGTCTACTACTTCGTACAGTACATACATAACAGATGATGTGTCATTTAGCTAGCATGAATGAATGAATGGCACGAAAACGAAACGAAACGAACATGATGGGAAAATGCACCGCACCTACTTGCTAGTTGACCTCGTACAGTAGTGCCCCGCTTACTCCGTATGTATGTATGTATGTATGCCCTGCTCATTATTCCGCCGGAAATTCTACCGAGATGATAAATAAGTATAAAAATTTAAACGGAGTAGCCTAGTAGTAGGTTATTCGTGCCCGCGCCACTACTAATTCAGGTATGTACAGTACGTAGTATGGATGTACTCCGTATATTACCCGAGACCAGTCCACTGTCCGGAGTACGGAGTAGGTAAACCCGTTAAGGAAATGCCGTTATTCGTTAAAACTTAAGCACCGAGAGGAGAGGACCGTGGACGACCGACGACCTCGGGCGGGGCCGTGGGCCTCGCCCTCGGCCCGCCAAGCCTCGGCGTGGATTGTGCCGAGAAGTTGTGGGTTGTAACGCCGTTGAATGGAGTAAGGAGTAATGATACTCCGACGAGGAGGTGATGGTGGTGGTGGAAGAGGAGGAGGACCTTGATGGAACACTGACCAGTACACTACGATGATGTATTTGTTTTTCGAGTTTGTTTTTGGTGTGTTTCTTTTCCGTTTATTCCATTCCATTCATTCAATTCGTTATTTATTTATTTACGACTATGTGATGGTGTTTAATGTTTGATTTCTTTGATGGTTTTTTTTTGACGGATATATCACTGTCACGAGATAGATGTTTTTCTCATGTTATGTCATCTAATTTCATGGGAAAAAATTGGGAGAAAAAAAGAAAGGATTCCTTTTTTGGTGCAATTTGTTTTATCTTCGCTTGTACACGTACATTACAGTACGTATGCATGTACATACCTCTTACACTGTAAGAGAGGAGGAGGGCAAGAATCACAATCAATAGATATATCCTGCCAAAAGAGTGAAAAAAAACATGGATGTAGAAAGGAGGTGATGAAAACGTCACGTACCTTACTATACCTAGTAGCTATAAAACAAAAGGCCCTGGTATAAGAACAGGTTTTTCCCTCCTTTTTTTTAAGCAATTCAAGCAAAGGAAGAGTTATACTGTAAAGCATCTTGACTGGCGTTATTATATTTTATGTACAGGCCAGAGTGCTCCTTGTCTAGGTAAACACTCATGCAATCCAGCTCAGTTCTAGTTATATATCATCGATATATCTACTTCTACACGGTCTCCCACCTATATATATACATTCCTTACCGTATCTGGTTGGATTCTCATTGCCTTGTTTTATCTTTTAGACTGAATTCAATTGCGCTCGATGTTCTTCTTTTTTTTTTCTTTCTTTTGTTTTGGGTTTTATGACAAGTATACAGCGCGTCCCAGGTCTCGGTGACGAGTCGATTCGCCAATCTTTGATCGGAGTGTCCCTGTTGATAGAAACTAATTCAAGGCGTTTTTTTTTTGATTTCAGCTTCAGCTTAGCATCCGCAACTACATCTCCCCAATTCGTCTTCCCTTGAACCGCATTATACGCGCCAACAGGGATTGCATGTCTCCGAGGATCTTTCGGTCCGGCAGCAGACACAGTTCCCACCCAGTTGCGTTGCGTCCTTCTAGTCGAAAACTGCGGGCTGACTGCGGGCTGACTGGCTTCAACCGTCGCGCGGATGATTCCCCGAGTCCTGTCCGAGTGCCATTGTTTCGCACCGGGCAGCTGCCTCCCGGTTGTCGAGCCTGTACTTGCAAGATCTTTGAGATCTAGGTGGCCAGGAGCTCCGCCAGAGACGAGTATAGGAGCATCCCCAAGATGGCCAGTTGCACATATATATCCTCGCATATTCAGAATGAGGCCCGTCAGAATGCGACCAGCGGAACCAGCTTCCCGATCGACATTTTTTTTGACGGATAGACGAATTCAAAATATCTACGTGGCTAACGATGTCGATAAGATAGCGAGTGATAAAAAGTCTGAACTAGGTTTCAGACGTAACTTTTCACTCCGATGTTTCCTCTAATAGGGATCGGATATTGTCTCTTGGATAAAGCGAAGTAGGACTCGAGCTGCGCAGTACCATAATCTGACTGAAGTAACTGTACGAGTGCCTCTGTGTTTCTGACTTGCTTTATTGGCAGCTTGGTTCGTCGTGAAACTTTTGAGAGTAGCTTTATATTACATGATAGTCGGTCCATTTCCTTCGGTTGGTGAATATATATATTAGCTAGTAGCACCTCTACGATGAAAACATTAACTTCCGTTGCTGGACACTTCATGTGCTTTTTGCAAAATTTGATAATTAAGCTAGATATTATTAAAGGACATGGCGAGAATTACGAAAAAAAGAAGAGAAAGAAATAGCGATCTCATCTTAAATGCAGCGAGCAAGGTGGTTCGGAGTCCTTCGACCAGAAAGCAGGACGAAGGCACGAGACCACTTTCTAGTCCAGATGATGATGATGAAGAAAACTGCATTTGGCTCATTTAGAGTGACTGAGTCCTCACTCTTGTTTTACATCTGGTGATCAGAGACGAAAAGTTTGTCTTCGAGATCTACAAACGATCCTTCCGACAAAAACGTTAGAATTACTGCGTAATCTCGACTGCGTAGATAGGAACCCGACAATTGAATCGGCTGGAGTCAAAAGACTTGAGCTCCTCTCGAATCTACCAGCTCCGGATGTTTACTTCGCTCCTAGATAGTAACTGTCGTCTACAGATCCTTCATGATCTCATGCCTATGGACGGCGAGCAAGACCTTCTCGATAACGCAGGCGAAAAATTTCCTCTCCATCCAGATCCCATCCAAGTATCGTGTGTCGATCGAATTCGACTAGCCATTTGCATTACGTACTTGCATCAACCTCTAGAAAACAACAGAACAGCAGTCTCCGTAGTAACTGCACGGCATACTCCGTACTCGACTCCTTCTGTTTGTACCGGTGAAGAGAAAGGAAGGAGATTCCCATGCGGTCAGAAAATCATCGCGCTCCGATTGGCCCAGCCCCGGCATCGTTGGTCACAACCGTGCAAACGCAGCAAACCGCTCCACCTCCTCCCCACAAAGCAGACAAACATTAAGCAAACAAAGCAAAAGCCATCAAACACTCGCTTAGCACTAGCGCGAAAAATCCGCTCCACCAGCAAATATAAAAACCCCTTCACCCTCGCCGTCCTTTCAATTTTCTTTCTTTCTTTTTTCTTCTCCAAGCGACACTGCTCCATAGAATCATTTCTATAGGAAGCGTCTCTTGCTGATTCTCTAAATCAGCCACAGTTATTTCCCATCCTTGCTGATGACCTCGAGGTCCTCGATGCCCTAAAGTGAAGCTCTTCTTCCACCTTTTTCCGGGTGGTTGTTACTCCCGCTTGCGACTGTTGATGCCGAGGGAACCTAGTCTGCGTATCTTCGTGTACGCGACTTTTTCTCTGCTGGCTCACGTGTCTAGGGAGTGGTGATGATCTTTACCTTGTTTCGGCGTCTTGACTTCGGTCGGCTGAACTTGGTGGGTGTCGAGGAGGTCTGAAAGGATTTTTATCAAGTTTTTTGTGTGGTAGTTAGCGAGGTAGTCAGTAGTAGAGAAATGGAATGAAATTGTTTCAGGAAATTGCATTCTCCATCTGTTGCCTTTAGTACCTGTAGGTTCTTCAGTTTGTGAGCTTTTCTCGAGAATTCTTAAGCTTGTCCAGCTTCGCAATTAGCGTTTTGATAATGCCTTGATGGTAAACTGTCACAATTGAATGCCGTCGTAGATCGCTCTGCGGTATCTGTATTAGATGTGTGATTTACTGTCGCTTCTACTGTAGAGCGTAGTAGGGTAGTAAAGACTGTACTTGAAAAATTTTTTCTCGATCGTCGCACTCGCGTATTTCGCGCTTGTATTTCGTGAAATAAATCCTATGGGTATCATCACTATCATGTTCGTATGCTACTATCTATCAGATTTGACAATCATTACGATTTCGACTCAGCCGCCTTCTCTTTCTCTCCAGATTGGTTCCCCCTTCCCACCACCTTTGCCTTTACCTCGCCCACGACCTCCGCTGCCGCGTCCACTTGCCCGATTTCCCACTACGCTGGGACGACTGCTGCGCCTGCGCCTGCTGCTGTTGTTGCTGCTGTTGTGGTTGCTGCTGCTGCTGCTGTGGTTCATTCCCGCCTTTCCCTTTCGGCTGCGGAGGATTCTTCCTCTCCAGGACGACAACCTGACTCTGCGCGACGGTCACCGGACTGGCAGCGATGGCCTTCTGAAGACCTTCGGGTTCCGCAAAATCCACGTACCCGAATCCCTTCTTCTTGTCGATTTCCACCTTCAGCACCTTGCCAAACGCACTGAAAGTGGTTTCCAGAAGGGGCTCTGTCACGCCCTGTGAAGGGTTCGCGTGCTTAAGGAATGCTTGTGTGGCTGTCGGAGAGACGGTCTGCTTGGCTTTCGACTGCTTGGAGGCTTTGGAGGTCGTCGCAGCTGGACCAGTGGGCGGAGCAGCGCTCTCAGGCGTGGCGCGAGACGGTGCTGGTTCCGTAGTTGGAGTAGGTGTCGGAGGCTGACTAGGAGCAGTTTTCGCGTTGCATTCTTCTGTGACGTAGTCTCTTTGGCTGCTTTGCAGCTTGCTTTGAAGGCTTGGGAGAGGCAGGAGCCGCCTCCTGAGACCCTTCGGTTTTGGAGGCATCCCCATCACCTGTTGTTTGGGCTGATTTTCCTCCTCGACGCCGGCCACCGGACGGAACAAGTCCTAGATCGCGTTGAAGAATCTTGGCCGCTGCGCTGATATCTCCTCGCTCTCTCTTGCGTTCTGGGGCAGGAGTCGGGGTAGTTGTAGAAGGCTGCTCAGCTGTCTCCTTGGGTGCCGGCGCTGGAGCAGCTTTCGACGCCTTGGCGGCAGCGTTCGCAGCCTGCTTGTTGGCAGCTTTCACCGCTTCCTTCGTTGCCTTCTCCACCTTTGTCTTCTTGTCCGTAGTCGTAGGTTGTTGAGGGGTTTCCTTCTCGGCTCGTTTCAGTAATTTCTTCGCCTGGACTTTCTCGGCCTTGTTTTCCTTCTCCTTGTGTTTCGATTTGCTGGGAGAGGCGCTCTCCTTGGCCTTGTTTGCTTTCTTTTCCTTGATAAACTGGACAAGGGGCGTCGTAGTCACTTCCTCTTCTTTCTTCTCGCTTTCGGGCAGCGCGTCGACTGGCGTAGGCTTGGGAACCGGATTGGTGAGGCTCTCGAGGAACGCAATGAATTCTGGATCCTGGTCGATCGTACCCTGGCGTCCATCCTTCCGTACACGGCCGCTGGGAATCCGGGCGTATGGAGCGAATTCGAGTGAGGGCGGCCCAAGAAGCACCGGGTCGTTTACGGTGTTGCGAGAATCGTGAAAGGAAGTGCTCTTGACCTTATCTGACAAAGGGGCAATCAGGTCTTCTGAGGTAAGATGAAGGTACGCTCGTGCCGGTCGGGATGGTTTGGCTGGACTGGAGCAACTTTCAGTATGATGCCAGACTCGCGACTGAGAAGAAAACTCACTCTCTGGAAACCTTGCCATTTTTATATTGGAACCAGTCTACCTTTCCTGAGCCAACCTTCCATTCCTCTCCCAAACAGTTCTCGAATTCAGTCTGTGTCAGGCCCGGCGGTAGTCTTCTCACGACGAGCTTCAGTCGGGGAGCAGGAGGCTTGGGCGTGCTCTTCGCCGGTGTCGCCGGTTTCTGGGTGGCTGAGGCAGGAATCGGGAGAACGCCTGCAGACGGCTTGGCGACTGATGGTTGAGCCATGGCGCAGTCTCGTCAAAACGAGATATCCAGTGGGATGCTGGGATAAGAATGGAAGATGAGTCGATAAGATCGATCCTGCTGGATGGTGGGGGTTCAACGGGGAATCGGCGAGGGTGCCACCATGTGCGATGCAGTATTTGCAAAAGGATGGCTTCAGGAGAAGAAAGAAGGTAATCCAGAATGCACAACTGCCTCTTGCAGGCAGTAAATAAGTTGGTGATTCAGTGTTCTGGCAGCGGGCGATGTTATCGCAATCGGCGAAGCAAAGGATCGGCCATTAAGTAATTACGGAGCACGAGGGCGGCCAAGCACGCTCCTCGCCATCTCGTCCTGCGAACCCCCCGCACGACCATCCGCCCTGCCATCGCTGTCTGTTCATCGCCCGCGACAGGCTGTCTGGTCTGCAGGGCCTTCTTACTGTTCTCTTAACGATTTATCTTCATTTCTCTTCAATTTCTCCTGCCCTGTACCTCCTTGTTTTTCCACCAATTCCCTCTCCCGCAGTCCCATCAATCGCTGTGTACTACAATAAGCGCCATTCAGCTTGCCGACTCCCTTCGATCATTCATTCCTAGCACCAACGGCGCTGAGAGCTCGCTATGACGGAAAGGCCAGTGCCACAGCCTGGCCCAGCCAAGCTGAAGCGAAATGCAGGCCCCGATGAGTGGCTGGAGGCAGCCAAGGACTGCAAATACCTGTCGGAGCATCATATGAAACAGCTGTGCGAGATCGTCAAGGAGTACATGATGGAAGGTTGCTCCTCCTGTCCCTGTGGTCCTGTCTTCCACTGATTTCTTGGCCCAGAGTCGAATATCCAGCCCGTGTCCACACCCGTCACGATATGTGGAGACATCCACGGACAGTTCTACGATCTCCTCGAGCTGTTCCGCGTCGCTGGCGGAATGCCCAACGAGACCAATGTCGAGCCCCCTACCACGGCTCCCTCGGTGATCACATCGGAGGATATCGAGCCGCCTACGACGATTTCCGATCCCAAGCTCCGGAAGAAGCTGAGAAATGCTAATAGTCCCTCCGACGGTGATGATGACGCAGATTCCAGCAGCGGGAGAGAGCGGTCGTCTAGTGGATCTTTGCGGGGGACTGATCTCCCGCCGGGAAATTTTGTTTTCCTTGGGGATTATGTCGACCGAGGCTATTTCAGTTTGGAGACGTTGACGTTGTTGCTGTGTCTGAAGGCGAAGTCGGTTCCAATCAAATCGACCGGGATATCCGGATCCCCGCTGACTTCGCGTGCAGGTACCCAGATCGAATCACGTTGGTGCGTGGGAATCACGAGTCGCGCCAGATTACGCAAGTGTACGGGTTTTATGAGGAGTGCTTCCAGAAATACGGCAATGCCTCCGTTTGGAAGGCGTGCTGCCAGGTGTTTGACTTTATGACGCTAGGCGCCATTATCGACGGAAAGGTTCTGTGTGTGCATGGAGGGTTGAGTCCGGAGATCAGGACGCTGGACCAGGTGCGCGTCGTAGCACGGGCGCAAGAGATTCCTCATGAAGGTGCCTTCTGTGACTTGGTGTGGTCCGATCCGGAGGACGTGGAGACCTGGGCTGTCAGTCCTAGAGGAGCTGGTAAGGAACCTTTCGTCTGGCGAGGATGTCCTGTTGCTGACGGCTGTAGGCTGGCTGTTTGGAGACAAGGTTGCCGAAGAGTTTTGCCATGTCAACGATCTGACGTTGATTGCCCGAGCGCACCAGCTGGTTAATGAGGGCTACAAGTACCATTTTGAGAAGCAGAACGTGGTGACGGTGTGGAGCGCCCCGAACTACTGCTACCGATGCGGGAACCTGGCCTCGGTGTGCGAAGTGCGTGAAGATCTCAAGCCGACGTTCAAGCTGTTCAGCGCGGTCAGTGACGACCAGCGACACGTGCCCGTGTCGAGACCCGGACGGGGCGAGTATTTCCTGTAGAGTATTCACGGTCACGAGTCATGCATTGCGTATAGTTCTATGCCTTGTCTGGATGGGCCGGGACGATTATTGCATGGCGCAAGGGCGTTTGGTTTCGTTTTGGGTTGAGGGAGTGGGCCGTTGCCAGTATACCAGCGTATATTAGCGGGCATTTGATTTCTGGAGATTCGTATTTATGCACGGTCATAAAGACAATGTTTTCTGTTGATTTAGTTTACTGCAGGAAATGACTTCTTCAGCCGCATAGGCCGTAATACGGATTCTTGGCCTTGGGAAGGAGTCATTCGGCTAAGAGATTCCTACAGACTTCTTAGCAAACCTATCGTGCAAGTGATTTTCCTCATTACGCTGAGACGGGGGGATCATCACCAGTCCCTTGTTTTGATTCAGTCATGATCGCCTTCAACCCTGACACGCTGCTCCAGCTGTGGCTGTGGTATGGGGGCGATGACAGTCCACGATCCATACCTCGATCCTCTCATGACGGTGGCACACAAAAGACCAGATCCCTCTGTCACTGGCAGCAAAGACTGCAGTCGAGGGTGTACTGCTTCGACTCAGCCAAGTCACCCTTGCCAGACCACCACCCTTGAAGGTGTCGCCAACAAGGCGCTGATCAGAGATGACGTCCTAGATGATCTCAGCAGTGCATGATCATGATGTACCATCGCAAGCAGACGAGGAGACACAAGTTTCCTCCGGCGATTTCAAAGCCTACCTCGTGTCCGTCTATGCGAGAGCGTTGAAAACACTGGTCGATTTCGCGAGCTGAGCAATATACGTACATATGAACTTAATTTGCATGTTGCATATGCATTCTATGCACTGGAGTACGGTGACGGCCTGATTTGCTGCAGACTAGGACACTTCTGGCGATGTCTTAAGACATCGAACGTTATAATAAATGATTATACCCCCCTGTATGTATGTACAGTGTCATTTGCTGCTCTTGCACTGTATGTCGACGTTTAGATAGATAGAGGTGATTAGATAAAAGAATAATAGATTCAAGGGAATGATAATAAGACTAGATATGTACTGTAGTATGTGTTAAAGAGAAATAAACAGCATTACGTGTTTTCATAATGTCCGTGAGTAGATCAACAGAGATCAATGCAGTAGACTCCGCTTTAGCATGGCCTCTATCCTCTAGGTTGATAGTGAAGTATGTACAATGTCCAATTCAGCATTGCATTATCTATCTGTGAAATTCTGCAGAGTTCAAACAAACAAACGTACCTATTTGCTGCTCTCATCAGGATATGGTGTAACAGGCAAGAATACACATTTGACTAAATACTAGGACTCCTAGCTTACGGAAACCAATAATTAGGAAAGATCAAAAAGATGGGAAACAAACTGATTGCAAGCCCAAAACTATAGATCGGTTAGCTTCTATTTCCTTCCTCTGTCTCTGGTATGCCTACTTTATCTATATCCTGCGCAGAACGCTAGCTACACAAAACGGAATCGTGCTTCTTAACTTGACGTCCAAAGGAGTTTCTTTCTCTTGATTTTCTTGAAAATGGTTTCCTGGCTGCTTTGATTATGTCCTGGCAGGAGTAGAATGGCGAGAAAAATCTGCAAGATAAAGAAGATCAGGACAATGAATACAACAGTTCTAAGCAGAAGAGATATTTCTTAGCTTGATCTTGCATCTTGTGCAATAAAAACAAACTGCTATAAATCTGGATAGCTAGTGGCGTTGCCTTTCCAGGATAAGCTTGACTCTGTCATGGTTCAATCTGCTGCTACTCTCTTCTCAATCACTTGTGCGTTGTGTTTTTACTTACAGCTATAGAAGTAGGTAGTTAATGTACTGTACGTCCACCTGCTGTGGCATTCTCTGCAGAGAGGGATTGTAGTGAATATCGATCAAGCGAGCTCAGCCAGGCTATTTATTGTCTATCGACCCCCTTCTCCCTTCTCTCTTTCTTCTTTCCCCTCCTCGCCATCCTACCTTCGCGAGTAGCTGTATACACAATTTTTGTGCTGTATATCAGCTATATATATAGAACTCTCTTTTCATATATTCTATATCATTCTTTATTATCTCATTCCCGTGAGCCTCTTCAGTCAATCCAGTCTATCATACACTCGCTGCGAGGTTAACAGACTCCGTCCTGGCAACTTGACAATATCCAACCTCTGATAATGGAACGAGACACCCTTATAAACCGTTGGGACCGTCAACCCAACGGCCTGTAAGAGCTGCAGTGACGGTTGTGGCTCGTTTATCAGTGCGTTGGCGTGACTGGCTCCCTTAGCGGTAGCTGCGCCAATTGCCATTACAACAGCCTGGGCGCGCGGTGCAATCTGAGACGTAAGTAGCAATACAAGCTTTATATAGATGAACTTACCAGTATCGAATATAGCGGAACAGCCGAGAACCTGCAGTTGTATGGCTAAGGACAAGACTCCCCTACCGCCGCCACCACTGCAGCTGCTGCAGACGAAAGGGAAAAAGCGTCCTGCTCTGGCTGGCACGAAAAAGGGCGAGCGTGGCCGCAAGAAGATACGTTTCGAGGGAGGACAAACAAGGGAATTTCGAGCAGAACTTGAAGAACTCGCCAACTGCGAGGTCACAGAACGCATCGCACAGCCCAAACCCAGCATGGTATGGATCGTCTCTAGTCTGCTTTGTTGTTTGTCTCTATAGTTTATACGGTATCTGACAGCTAGCCAGTGTCCGTGTCCTCGAATGTGCTCCGCAGTGACTGCATTACCGACGACGTTTCTCTGGCAGTTGCCGGCGCTGATATCGTCCAGAATGGATATTACTTTAAGTATATGGCGCCGTATACCTCCATTGTCGGCCAAATCAGGATTATCAAGAGCTTCCAAATGCAACAGACGGAAGAAGATTCGCCTGTAGAACAGTCTACAGACGATGATATCTATCATCGATGAGGAATTTATCTTCGGAAGAACAATCACAGGAGGGAGATAAAGTCGGACTGAATTAATTGCAGTGCAGTTGTCCAATAATTCGACAGCTCCAGTACATCTGGTACAGGGCGCGATAATTACAAGTTATGGAATTATATCAGTTATGTTCAAAAGTTCGCTAATTTAACATCGATAACGAAAGCAGTTTCCATTAGTCACAATACCGGTTGTGCGATCGATGTCCTTGACTGATCGGAAAGGAATTTCTTCAGCGACAAGTCGACTAACCTGGAAATAAAACAAATTTTCAGCCTCACACTAGTTCTTAGGGTTGAGACAAGGGAGGAGATGGACCCAATTAGTCTTTTTTTTTAGGGTTGATAATCAGCTCATTGATCTGTCTTCTTGATTTGTGGATATATCAGTGGTGACTATTGAACTAGATAAAGAAAATAGTTCCTTGCAGTGAATGCCTGCCCTGGATAGACTATACATAGAAGAGTCATACCTAGATGAATCTTCGTTTTCTAGTTCCATTTTTTTAAGATACCATTAGATACGTATAGCATCATATCCAGCTAGGAGGTAACTCTTCTTATGTTTTTTTCACAAAATAAATCTTTTTCTGCGCCATAATAACCATCACTTGACCAGATGAAAGTGTTCGCACACCTCGTGTTACTGTCATCTCGCAGACTAGAATAATACCGCGGAAGGCTGCTTGTTCTAATCGTCAAATTCCAACCAGAACACACCATCACCAATCCAATCCAATCAATCCATGCAATAGAATAGGAACAAAAAACAAACAAACAAACACCATGAACCGCTTATTTCTATTTAAACGGAAGAAGAAGAAAAAGTTAAATATCCCCCCACCCAGTACGCCGCAGTCTCGGCGTCGTCGGTCCTCGTCGTACACGGTTGCCCCGCACCTCCAAGCCGAGTTCGACGTGCCGCTGTCCGCGTTCGCAGCCGCGCATGCAGAATATACGGATTTTGTCGTTGCGGGGTTTATCTTTTCTGAAAGATCTTCTGTTCCTCCTGCTGCTCCTGCTGCTGCTGTGTCTACTGCTCCACGCATGCTCCTCCTCCAGCGCGCCTGGTCCGACTCGTACGGCGGATACTGGGATTTCCCCGGCGGATCGGTCGAACCGTCGTCCGACGCGACGCTGCTGGATGGTGTCGCGCGCGAAGTCCGCGAGGAGACGGGGTTCCATGTCTCGCGTATCCGGGAGCTGGTGCGGGTGGACGCGTGGGTGGCGCATATGGGGAGGAGGAAGGTGGCTAAGTATTCGTTTATTGTGGATGTGCATGAAGCAGCAGAATCATCGGCAGCATCTGGAGAATGGGAAGACGAGGATGATGAATCTGAATCTGACCACAACAGCGTCGTGACGCAGCAGCAGCAGCAGCAGCAGCACATGCCTCTCAACTGGGAAGACCAAGTCCAGCTCGCAGAAGCAGAGCATCAGCGCTATGTCTGGGCGACGGAGGAAGAGGTCGAAGCCAGCGTGGTCAACAAACGCAATGGTCGCGGCGAAGAAGGACCGTATCTGTTTGTCGGCATCCAGGGTGAGACGGCGTTGGAGGCGTTTCGCAAGTATAAGAGTCTGAAGGGGGATTGAGTTGGTATATATTATGCTATATCTATATTCTATATGCTATATATTACATGCTATGTTTGTCAGAATTCTGCTTGAGGATCTTCATTACTAGCATATATCGAGGTTTGGATAAATTACAAGGATTTATACGGTTGCAATCTAATCTCTATACCATGTGCATTCAGGCTTATACAGAACTGGCAGCCCTGCTTTCCCTCTTCGGCCGCGCCTCGCGACGCCATTTCGGACCCTGCTTCATAATATACCACAGGATCGGACTGCAGCCAAAGACGACCAGACCGAACAGCGTGCACGTCCAGCCCACGCCCATCCCGTCGATCATCGGCACGACGAGCGCCGTCGATCCCGCCCCCAGCCAGCAGCGCAGGAGATTGTTGGCCGCCGTGACCGTGCCCGCTCGCCCCGGGTACAGATCGATAACCAGAACGGAGATGGTGTTCAAGGTGGCGCTGACGCTGAAGCCGATGACGAACAGCAGAATCAACGGCCCGGCCAGGTTCGTCTTGTACTGCACTGTCCAGCCAAAGCCAATCATGCAGACAGCGCTGAGGAACGCGGTTGGCACGGCCACTTCAAGGCGGGCGCGCTCAATGGGGAAATTAGTCAGGTCGGTGCGTTTGTTGCGCTCAACCGGTATCCCCAGCCGCTTGGCGTGGTATCGGAACCGCGAGTCGATGACGCGGCCTCGAACGAACGCGGCGACCATGCTGCCAACACCCAGCGGGATGTAGCAGAGCGAGATCTGCAGCTGATTAAAGCGGTAGATATCCGCGAACTGGGACGGAATCATGGCCACTGTCGCGTACATGCCACAGCAGACGATCGCGATGTAGGCCAGGGCGTACCCGCTTTCTCGTTGGAAGACGAGCTTGAGCGTTGCAAACGGATTAGGGACGCGCAGATGACGGCCCCGGGCCAGCTCGTCGCGTTTCTCCCAGGGGATCGTCTTCCCCGCCCTGACGGCCCTCTTCTCCTGGATGATGTTCGTGCAGCATCGATTCCATGCCACGGGCGGGATAGACCCGTCGCCAACAACCTTGCGGCACGTTTCTGGGAAGAAGAAGAGCATGGGGACAAAGACAGCTCCGGCGACGATGACCAGAAACCAGAAGATGAAATGCCAGCCGACATACTGCGCGAGGAGACCGCCGATGACAGGGCCCAGCGACGGCCCTATCATCGGCGCCACTGAGAGATAGGCGACGTAGACGCCGCGCTCGGACGAGGTCACAATGTCCGCCGCAACCGCGTTGGCGAGGGAGACTGTCCCGCTGCTTCCGGCGCTCTGGAGGCAGCGAAGGACCATCAGGGCGGGATAGCTGTTCTGCACGGCCAGGCCGATGTTCGCCGCGATATAGATGACGAAGCAGATCATGTACGCGGGGCGTCTGCCCGCGTTGTCGGAGAACTGCCCGATGAACGTCGGCGCCAGGCCCTGCATGAACTGGAACAGTTGTTAATCGAATATTATCACCCATTGCGCCAGGGCAGCAAACCTACCATGTACGTGGTAATGGTCAGGTTGACCAGAGAGTTCGACACCTTCAGATCGGCGGCAATCGTGTTGAGCGCCGGGAAGAAGATCTGCGCCGAGATGGGCGAGAAGAAGGACGCGATGCCGGCCGCGAGGATGATGATCTTTTTCTGCGTGGGCGTCCAGACAGACCAGACGGCGTCGTCGGTGGCATTTCGCTGGGCGTCGGTCGTCTGGACTTCACTCGAGTGTGCGCCATCCTGTTTGATGGAATCGGGGTTCTCTGCAGCGCGAGCATCGCCGGAGACAGGCACGTCCTCGCTGGCCAGTTTGTCTTCTGTCGCAGACATGCCTTTGTCACGTTGCAATGAGGATAGGAAGAATCTATCTTGAGTCCTCACAATCAAGAAAAGAGCAATTCATTCAAAGAATCAGTCCTACATGGAACAATCCTCAGCATTGAATCCGCACGACTGGGCATGTTTTATATCAAGATCAAACAAGACGGCCTTGTAGCTGCATATCAGATTTCCAGCTGAGCTGACCGGTAAACAGCGAGATCGCGTCTGATTGATCTGCTGGCAATCCCGGAACTGGCCTGACGGGTGCTCTCCGCCAATCACGGTGGTTGGAGATAATCACTAAGCAGCGCCTGATTGGATCGATTACGCGGCCTGGAGCGGAACCGGCTGGACAGGAGAGAACAGGTCGCGATAATGCCAGTTGGGTATCGTATCGTTTATTATTGCTTAGGTTATGTACTTGGTGATTGAGGTATGGACAGCAAGTGTGTCTATCTTCAAGCCGGTCCAGGAAGCAAGAGTAACAGCCTGCTTCTGGTATAATATAATACTGGCGACATGTTTACAGCCGCCCGTCGAGGTCATCCTCCACCGGCAGCACCCCTTCTGCCTGCAACTCCAGAGCCACTTCGTCGACCTTCTTCCACACTCGCAGCAGGTTCCCTCCCACCACTTTCGCGGCATCCTCGTCGCTGACGCCGCGTCGGAGCAATTCGGCCACCAGGGCCGGGAATTTCGACACGTCGTCCAATCCGGCCGGTGTGGAGGTGATGCCGTCAAAGTCACTGCCCAGGCCGACGTGCTCGTAGCCGATCAGTTCGCCGATGTGGACGATGTGGTCGACGACGTGCTCGAGAGTTGCGTTCGCGGGGTAGAAGTCTGGCAGTTCGTCCGGTCGATTGGAGGCGGTACAGGACACGAAATCGGGCGCGAAGTTTACCATGACCAGCGAGTCGGTCTTTTTGACCAGCTGCAGCACGTCATCGGGGACGTTGCGCGGATGCGGACAAACCGCATACGCGGAGCTGTGGCTGAAGATGACCGGCGCCTTGCTTCCGCTCCAGTCGTCCTTGCCCGCTCCCAGGACATGGCGCATCGTGTCCTGGCTGACATGCGACAGATCGACGATCATGCCCAGCCGGTTCATCTCCCGGACCAGATCCTTTCCGCGCTCGCTGACGCCGTGCCACAACGGTTCTGCCTTCTTCACGCCGCCGCCGGGAATCTCCACCAGGGCCGCATCGGCGAAGAGGTTGTGGCAGTTGTGGGTGAGGGTGGCATAGGACACGCCCAGCTTGTAGAAGGTCCGGAGATGGGCGAAGGAATTGCCGATCGAGTGCAGACCTTCGATCCCGTACGGCGAGATGATCTTCCCCTGGCGGAAGGCCTGCAGGGCGGTCGTTCCGTTGGGCGGTTCCGAAAAGACATGCGGATACGCCTGCTGCAGTCTGGAGATCACGTCGACTTGCTCGAACGTCTGCCTGACACCTGCTGAAGTCAGCAACCACGAATTCAAGTCATCGACGTAGGCCTTACTGTGCGCATAATTTGCACCGGAATAGTTGGCGCCATCGGCGGGACACGGCACGTAGACGCTCCAGAAGGAGCCTCCCACCTTGCCAGCAGACAGCCGGGGCAGATCGACATGGCCGGGCAGATGGCCATGGACGAACAGGTCGGTGAAGTTGGATCCGTAGATGCGATTGCCAAAGCGAGAGCGGATCAGAATGGGGAGGTCGTTGTGTCCGTCTGTGCGCATTGCGTATGAGCAGATATCTCTTCGTGAGGCTGGGGGATCGCCCTACCTATCAGCGGCGTCTCAGTCAGGATCTGGTCGACTCGCTCCTCGATCGATCTGGGGCCGCGATGTCGCTGGCAGTGTCTGATCGGAAGAGGACGCAGCGTGAGGGCAATCAACGTGAGAAAGAAGGCCAGCACTACGGTGCAGAACCGTGCCAGACGTGAGCGCGTTCCAGGGATCGAGTCCCGCTTGAATGCTTATCAGACAGTGCAGCTGGGAGCTGCGCGTCGCCCTCCAAGAGGGCTCCTTTTTCCTCGACCATGCTGGCTGTGAGCACTGATCAAGACAGCAGGGTGATATTCGATGGTCTTATCTCGATTGTGAGGGGATTCAGTTAGACGGATTATGTCATGGCGTCTCCGATAACTAGCGTGATTGCGGTTGATCTGCATCTGCAAGCTGGCATCCTCGCAACGAAACAAGCACCAATACGGTGAAACTAGACCGCTGCCTACTCCGTAGACCTGCCAGGAGTCTTCTTTGCTGGTTTTCGTCTGCTCGCCTTGGTTGTCTCCAGCTGCGTTGGAGGGACCCCACCGTAGAGCGATGAAAAACAGAATTGATAAAACAAATCGACAAATTAATAAATTGATAAAATATGAAATTGACAAAATAACTAATTGACGAAACAACGAACCTGGCCTGATTCTATTGTGGGATTGTTGTATTTATTTGTCTTCTCCAGCTGGGAGATCCCCTCACGTGTCCCGCCCTCGTCTCCGCCATCAACGCCGAATTTTGTTTTTTTCTTTCCCACTCGCTGCCAACACGACCAACACTCTTCTGCTTCTGCCATCTGCGCCACAGTTCGACTTGAATGACCGCCCCGTCTGCGCAGACCGGGCGTCTTCAGTCATCATGGCAGGCGACGCAACCGCTACTGGCGTTTCATGTGGGTTGTGCGATGTCATTGGATTTGGATCTCTGCAGTACTGACTGTCGACCACAGGGCTTCTGACCGTTTGGCATGCCGTCCGTATTCCCTTGCTACTCGCGCTTGCCGTCATCGTTCTTGTTCGCTCCTATGGCAAATCGCTGCCCCGATCGAAGACTCCGTCCTCCTCGTCCATTCCGCCCTCACCTCGTCTGGAAAAGGCCGTCTGGCCTCAGGATGACGGCGCGGAAAAGCAAACGGCCAGTATTCCGGCGGTAGATATCGAGAAAGCCCCGTCGAGCAACACAGCCAAACCGAAAACTGCGGCTGCTGGCCCCAAAAGAGTGGTCGGCAATCGACAGCTGAAAGATGCAGCCAAGCGTCGAGGCGCGTCCGATGACCTCGCGTCGCCGTCCTTCATAAAACCCATCATCTTTTTCGCCTCGCTGACCGGCTCGACGGAGAGATTTGCCAACTCACTCGTGGAGGAGCTGCGCGCCGCCGCCCAGGAACGGTCCAAGAGCGTCCAACGGGACCGCGGCCTGCTGCTTCCGGAGATTTACGATCTGTCGTACATCGACTTCGAGGACTACTTTGTCTCCGCCCCCAAGCCGCCGCCCAACTCGCCGCAGACCCGCTACGTCTACTGTCTGCTGATCCCGACCTACAACATCGACTCCATCATCAACACCTTCCTCAGTCACCTCGACGAGACCCACCATGACTTCCGCATCGACACGGCGCCCTTGTCCGGCCTGGCGGGATATTCCGTGTTTGGATTTGGCGACGGAGAGGGGTGGCCCACCGAAGAGGAAGGGTTCTGCTCCCAGGCAAAGGAGCTGGACCGATGGATGGCAAAACTCACCGGCAAAAAGCGAGCGTATCCGCTGGGCCTCGGCGATGTAAAGAGCAACGCTCAAGACGCGTTGAAAGAGTGGACGCGCGGATTGCTGGACGTCTTGGATGAGATCGTCGAGACCGGAGGACTGGGAGAAGGCGTTCCAGGAAGCGGAGATCCGCTGGAAAGCGACGAAGAAGACGTCGCGGAGGATGGCGAGGACAATGTGACGGGTCACAAAGATAAGGCCGAGGCTGTGGTGGATCTCGAAGACATCAAGTTGAACGTGGACAGTGGCATGTCAGATACCAAATCCAAGTCAGCTACGTCGAACCAATCGTCCGCGACGACCCCTGCTGTGAAGGAGATGGTTCCCAAATCGTCTCCGACATACGCCGCTCTCACGAAGCAAGGATACACGATTGTGGGCTCTCACTCCGGCGTCAAGATCTGCCGCTGGACCAAGTCGGCCCTCCGCGGGCGCGGGTCCTGCTACAAGTATTCGTTCTACGGCATCCGGTCGCACCTGTGTATGGAGACCACGCCGTCGCTGTCGTGCAGCAACAAATGCGTGTTCTGCTGGCGCCACGGCACTAACCCGGTCGGCACGACGTGGCGCTGGAAGGTCGATCCGCCGGAGATGATCTTCCAGGGGGTGAAAGAGGGCCACTACAAGAAGATCAAGATGCTGCGCGGCGTGCCCGGCATCCGGGCGGACCGGTTCGCCGAGGCGATGCGCATCCGACACTGCGCGCTGAGCCTGGTGGGCGAGCCGATCTTCTACCCCCATATCAACGAGTTTGTCCGGTTGCTGCACAGCGAGCAGATCTCCAGCTTCCTGGTGTGCAACGCGCAGCACCCGGACCAGCTGGCTGCTCTGGACCGGGTGACGCAGCTGTATGTGTCGATCGACGCGAGCAACCGCGAGAGCCTGCGCAAGATCGACCGGCCGCTGCATCGCGACTTCTGGGAGCGGTTCCAGCGCTGTCTGGACATCCTGCGGGAGAAGCGACACGTGCAGCGGACGGTGTTCCGTCTGACGCTGGTCAAGGGATTCAACATCGAAGACGAGATCAGGGGATATGCGGATCTGGTCGAGAAGGCGCTGCCGTGCTTTGTCGAAGTCAAGGGCGTGACGTACTGCGGCACGAGCACGAGCGCCGGAGCAGGACTGACGATGAAGAATGTTCCTTTCTACGAAGAGGTGGCCGCATTTGTGGTCGCGCTGAACGACGAGCTGCAGCGACGGGGGTTGAAATACGGCATCGCGGCGGAGCACGCGCACAGCTGCTGCATCCTCATCGCGTCGGAGCGGTTCCTGGTCAACGGCCGGTGGCACACGCGGATCAACTACGATCGGTTCTTCGAGCTGCTGGAGCGGGAGAAGTCGAAGGGCATCTCGTTCGGTCCGGAGGACTACATGGCCGAGACGGAGGAGTGGGCGCTCTGGGGGAATGGAGGGTTTGACCCGAACGACGAGCGAGTGTACAAGAAGGGACGCAACAAGACAGTGAATCGGCAGGAAAATGACAGCAAGTCGTGAATAATCGCGATGACAGCCATTGCCTACAGCACTCAAGAGAATAAGAGCCGGCCAAGTCGGGTATCCTCAGCGGATCGATAGTCATCTGAATTAGCAAGATTGCTGCTAGATATATATATGGAGTTAAGGCTGGACATCCTGAATGTACTGAGCATGTTTACATTTTGGCTCTATGTTATTCACTGAGTCACTAGGACATTTACATTCAACAGTTCCCCAGCAGCTTCTCCTCCTTGCCCAGCGTCGTGCAGATGGATTGCAGCGCGCAGTCAATCATCTCCGGGTCGTTGGACTTGCCCCAAGGCAGGCAGCCGTCGTGGCAGCGCAGCTCGCGGTCGAGATGGAAGATGCCGAGACCGGGCTGCTTGGAGACGCGGACGACCTGCTGCAGCAGATCGGCGAGGTCCTTGACGTGGCGGGTCTGCTTGCAGAGGAAGCGCTTGTCGAGCATGGCGGCGAGGGAGTAGTTGCCGACCTTGTTGGCCAGCGCCATCAGCCGCTCGAGGTCCTCGAGGATGCGCTTCTCGACGGCGAGGGCCTCGCGAACGGGGCCGACCGGCTCGACGGGGTTATCGGAGAACTCGATCTTGGGGGCCTCGATGTCGGTGGGTTTGCAGCGGCCGCCGCGTTGGAGGTATTTTTCGAGCCAGTGGGCGTCGGCGAGGGATTCGATGGCGGAGCGTTCCCAGAGGCTGTCATCATCAGCGAAAACATCCACACGATGTTGTCCAGCCAGACCAGACGTATTAGAGGGAAGATATACATACAGCGCGAAACCATGCAACGCGATATTTGCGCGCGAACAATCAGCCGCCAACTTGCGGAAGAAGAGCCAGCTAGTCAATTCTTCATGGATATGGCCTCTGATCGACTACAGCGGTCAGCGGGGGTCTCCTTGACCTGACGTGGTTATACACACCTCCTCCAGTTCATGCGTAAACGACGACACACGGACACAGTCATCGATATTCTTGGCCGAGACTTCGCTGATGATGCGAGCGGCGTCTTCGGTCGGGGCCATTTTCGTCTGTTGTTGTTGTTTCCTGTCGGTGAAGCCAAAGATGCGTTTGAGATCCAGGGTGGAGGGAGTGGACTGTAGTAGTACAGTACAATATAATATGATATGATATGATATTGTGTGGGTAATTATTTACTGTTCTTTATTTACACTATCGACGAGAAGAATTTTTTTATATATATAAAACAGAGCGTGGCACAGAGCCTGTGTGTGTAGGTATGTGTCAGGGACCTTGAAGATGGCTGTCACGATGACATATTATTATTATTATTATAATCAGGTTTAACGTCCATACCGAGCCTTTCGGCTATGACAGACCCCGATTCTTGGGCAGAAGCCCCTATTAGTCCCTAATCCCATCTTTGGCCATTCTGAACCTTTTCCTCGCCCCAGGCCGCCTAGTTGCGTAGGGCTTTTGGGCCTTTATAAGCCCTCCTTGTTGCCAGTATCAGTATGGGTGTCGCCTGCCTACTGCAGGCCACCCTCCCCTATTATCCTTCTCCCTCACGTTCTGCCTCCTCTAGGGCTGCCAGCCCCCATTCATCATCCTTCCGTGTCCTCTCGGCTGCTCGAGCTGCTTCCCCTAAGGGGCATCCAACCGTTGTGTCTGCTAGGAACTGCAGGATG